CATTACAATATTTTGTCTGGCGCTATGTGAAAAAGCTGTTTTCCACAAAAATGGACTTACGAGGTTTTGTCAGCCAGCCGACGATATGTTCTTAAGCCTACCTTGACAGTACACGAGTTAGTGCCGTCTGTCCTCTGAATGACGTCATACACAGCGTCTAGGTGAGCCATCGACTCAGGGTGGCCATGGCTGTAGTACAGAGGTGCCGCTGAATAAAATGGAAAAAGAATACGCAAGAGTCAGTACCGACGTTTGGAGACAATGACAACTGATGCCATATAACTGTTGTCAGTGATGACGGACATGACGTGTTAACTCCTTACAAAGGTCAAAGCTTAGTAAAACGTCTTACAGTAAAAGATGGGATAATAACTTGGATTAGTCAGATTTCTATTGTTGTTGATTCTGTACAACGTATCGTAATTCAGATGGAGGCAGAAAATAAGAATGCAGGTATGGTATACTTTTAGTAATAGTTAAGGCCTTTGAGCTGACTACCTGTGTCTTCGTGAGTACCCGGATGAGGATGTAGCGATATCCAGTGAAGTGTGACGTCGGCTGACTTGAAAGCCGTCATGTTTGGGAGGCTCGTCTGGTTAGTACTGAAGACGATTACTTGTTTTTGAGAAGGAAAATTATCTCCAGGGAAAAGCTGAAAAGGGAAGTTTAAAAATTTCAGTTTTTATTTTAATTCAAAAGTAGAATTGCGAGTAAACTCATCTTGGTATCCAAGGCACCTCGTTGTAGACACTTAGTAAAGAGGTTGTACTAGACTGTGCGCTACCATAGTAACTCGTGCAGCGTTTACCCTATATTGTCTATAGGTATTCATTAACCTCTGGCCTTTCTCTAAATTAGTGCGTAAATGATGCAAGCACAATACATAAGTGCATCACAGTATTGATAAACGGTATCTGGTATTGATTTAACTTTGATATAAAAAATAATAAAAAATAAAAAGAATTATAAGGAAAAACTAACAAACTTTCAATTTAGAAATATGTGACAGACTTTTATGAGAGATCCTAATGAAAATCATTGTTTTATCTCGATTTTTACTTTTTTTATTTTCGTTCTTAATTTATGAAATTTTAAAATTCAGTTGAAGATATAGCAAAAATAATATGAGTAAGGAAAACCTATATATGAAATTTTTGAAATATCTACCCAATATTTCTAAAGAAGTACTTTAACAAACTTTCATCGTCAAAATTCAAGATGACCGCCTGTCAGAAATTTGTTTTTTCTTATCAAAAGGGCACAACCTTTGACTACGGGAAACTTGTTTATGAAATTTGAGAAAGATTCATTCAGTACTTCTCAAGAAATTGATAACAAATTTCCATAGTCAGCCTCTTTGCTCTAATGGGTCCTCTAAAGTAAGAAAAACACAACTTGAGACCAATGGGAACCTTATGCAATTTGAGAAAAATGTTATTCAATATTTCCAAAGACTAGCGATTACAAGAATTCTTTATGAGACGGACACAGTGCGACTTCAACAGCCCACAATTGATGATGATGATGATGATGATGATGATGATGATGATGACAACGACAATAGGCTAAATACGTATACCTTCTTAATGGCAGCTTGGTCTATATTGGAGAAGTCATGATCCCCACCTGCAATGGCGTGAAAATTGATTTTCGTTCCTCTTGCCGACCTAGCCACTCGTATGGACCCTAGCATTTCCTTCAGCCTTTCGGGAAGTAGAATCTCATATTCCCTCTGTCCCTCATTAGCCCTCACGTAGTGTGCTACTGCTTGGTACAGTTTCATAAAACTCTCGTCGTTCTTATAAAACATTCAAAGACGTAAAACTTTTAAAGTCATTCACTCATGTGAAACGATGGAATATATAAGGGGGTGCGACCATGTTAAAATAAAATGTTGGCCATTTTTCGGAGGTTATATTTCAGTATGACCCTGTCGATCAGAGGAAAATCAGAGGACTCCTTCTTACAACTAACCGGGAAACAAATATATTTTCATGATTGTGTTGCAACAGATAGATGTTCCGAATGTTCAGACTGGTGTCAAATTCAATTTGTCTGACTTGTAGTTATCTCAAAAGCTGTCCGCTCTCTATCTTATCAACTATATTATATAATATACCTGTGTTTACCTGTGTCATTGATATCACCAGTGTTGTCTCATGTCATTGATGTAACCTGTGTTGACCCATGTCATTGATATAACCTGTGTTGACCCGTGACATTGATATAACCTGTGTTGACCCGTGTCATTGATATAAACTGTGTTGACCCATGTCATTGATATAAACTGTGTTGACCCATGTCATTGATGTAACCTGTGTTGACCCATGTCATTGATATAACCTGTGTTGACCCGTGACATTGATATAACCTGTGTTGACCCGTGTCATTGATATAACCTGTGTTGACCCGTGTCATTGATATAACCTGTGTTGACCCGTGTCATTGATATAAGCTGTGTTGACCCGTGTCAGTGATATAACCTGTGTTGACCCGTGTCATTGATATAACCTGTGTTGACCCGTGACATTGATATTACCTGTGTTAACTCTTGTCATCGATATTACCTGTATTAACTCGAGACATTGACATTACTTGTGTTAACTCGAGACATTGATATTACTTGTGTTGATCCGTGTCATTGATATTGCCTGTGTTGACCCGTGTCATTTATATAACCTGTGTTAACTCGAGACATTGATATTACCGGTGTTGACCCGTGTCATTTATATAACATGTGTTAACTCGAGACATTGTTATTACCTGTGTTAACTCGAGACATCGATATTACCTGTGTTAACTCGAGACATTGATATTACTTGTGTTGACCAGTGTCATTGATATTGCCTGTGTTGACCCCTTGTCATTTATATAACCTATGTTAACACGAGAAATTGTTATTACCTGTGTTAACTCGAGACATTGATATTACTTGTGTTGACCCGTGACATTGATATTACCTGTGTTGACCCGTGACATTGATATTACCTGTGATAACTCTTGACATCGATATAACCTGTGTTAACTCGAGACATTGATATTACCTGTGTTAACTCTTGACATCGATATAACCTGTGTTGACCCGTGACATTGATATTACCTGTGTTAACTCTTGACATCGATATTACCTGTGTTAACTCGAGACATTGATATTACTTGTGTTGACCAGTGTCATTGATATTGCCTGTGTTGACCCCTTGTCATTTATATAACCTATGTTAACACGAGAAATTGTTATTACCTGTGTTAACTCGAGACATTGATATTACCTGTGTTGACCCGTGTCATTGATATAACCTGTGTTGACCAGTGTCATTTATATAAGCTGTGTTAACTCGAGACATTGATATTACCTGTGTTGACCCGTGACATTGATATTACCTGTGTTAACTCTTGACGTCGATATTACCTGTGTTAACTCGAGACATTGATATTATTTGTGTTGACCCGTGTCATTGATATAACCTGTGTTAACTCGAGACATTGATATTACCTGTGTTAACTCGAGACATTGATATTACTTGTGTTGACCCGTGACATTGATATTACCTGTGTTCACCCGTGTCATTGATATTGCCTGTGTTAACCCGTGTCATTGATATTACCTGTGTTGACCCGTGACACCGATATTACCTGTGTTAACTCGAGACATCGATATTTCTTGTGTTAACTCAAGACATTGATATTACCTGTGTTAACTCGAGACATTGATATTACCTGTGTTAACTCGAGACATTGATATTGCCTGTGTTGAACCGTGTCATTGAATTGTTTACCTATGTTGATATTTACTGGTGTTTAACAGTGTTCATTGTCATTACCTGATGGAGCTGACCAATGTGCATCAATATTACGGACCTCCGTTTTCTGGCTGCTTTGATAAATGTAAAGCTTGGGACCAGCTGAGCGTCCGTGTAGTTGGTGGGTGGGTTGCGCCCTCCCGCAAAGTCCGGTGTATTGGAAATGACGTCCCACGTGCTGCGGTGACTACAGAGACGGTTTTGACGATTAAGAGGCTCGGCGTTGTGTTTGGTTGCATAGTCGGCATCATCGTCACAGAAACCTGTTATCTGTGGAAAATGTCAGATATAGTACCGAATTTACTAGTCGGTATCGTTGTCATAGAAACTTGTTATCTGTGGAAAATGTCAGATATAGTGCCGAACTTACTAGACGGCATCTTCGTCACAGAAACCTGTTATCTGTGGAAAATGTCAGATAAATTACCGAATTTACTAGTCGGTATCGTTGTCATAGAAACCTGTTATCTGTGGAAAATGTCAGATATAGTACCGAATTTACTAGTCGGTATCGTTGTCATAGAAACAAGTGATCTGTGGAAAATGTCAGATAAATAACCGAATTTACTAGTCGGTATCGTTGTCATAGAAACCTGTTATCTGTGGAAAATATCAGATATAGTACCTAATTTACTAGTCGATATCGTTGTCATAGAAACCTGTTATCTGTGGAAAATGTCAGATATAGTACCGAATTTACTAGTCGATATCTTGTCACAGAAACCTGTTATCTGTGGAAAATGTCAGATATATTACCGAATTTACTAGTCGGTATCGTTGTCATAGAAACAAGTGATCTGTGGAAAATGTCAGATATATAACCGAATTTACTAGTCGGTATCGTTGTCATAGAAACAAGTGATCTGTGGAAAATGTCAGATAAATAACCGAATTTACTAGTCGGTATCGTTGTCATAGAAACCTGTTATCTGTGGAAAATGTCAGATATAGTACCGAATTTACTAGTCGGTATCGTTGTCATAGAAACCTGTTATCTGTGGAAAATGTCAGATATAGTACCGAATTTACTAGTCGGTATCGTCAAACCTTTAACTAATATGTTGTTTTTTCATATTTCTGCTGAGCTGTTCGTTGAGATAAGATTGTTGTCGTACAGATCAACATGGATGTTCATCTCTCTCTCATTATCACTCCTTTTACAAGCAGTATTTTCATTTAAGAAAACAACAAAGGAAATAAAGACAACAGTATCTAAATTCAAACTCAATTAAGATCAGTGTTCCGGAAGAGTATGAAGATTTTTCTGAAATTAGTTTTATTTAATGGGATTTTGACAAAAGATTAACCCACTTCCTAGAGATACATCATCTCACTCCGGAGCAAGAAAGGAGCTTTGACATTGCTAAGCGGAGAGTGAACAGAATTATCTCCCTTCTCCCGTAGGTATACATTAACAAAAGTTTTGGTATACTATCTTCACATTGATACTAGGTAAAATAAGACAAGTTTTCATTTCGTAATTATAAAATAAAATTAGACACAAATTACAAGCAGGCCACTTTACTTAGCTGGGGTCCTGTTTAGAGATAATATTTCGAAGTAAAAAATCGAAATTTATAAATTTGTACAACAGATGCACACTTACTTCCAGAAGTCGGAATAAGCAGCAGTGTTTGACGTGAGATTAAGTACTGACCTCTTGGATATACTGGTGGTCCATCAGAGATACGTGTGTCTGAATGCCGGACGGATAGCGTGGGTAGGGATAATATATACAATCTTCTTTGTAAAGGCCTGTACTGGGATCTATCTGGCATTGTAAAAACTTGTGATTTCCAGCATTTACATAAAAACGGCCCTTCAGAAGAATGCTGCACTTGACGGCGTCTATTCGGGCAAAGGCTGTCGAGAAGAAGAAGGTCTGCTCCCCCTCACTAGGGTATTCCTGGAATACGCCCCACCGAAAAGTTGCCCACTGGTGAACGATGAACTTGTCTGCAATGACACGTTCATCAACAATATGGCACATACATATGTAATAAAACCTAACGAAACTTCATTTGCTGAACGTTGTCATTATTGTCATTATGATGTCATAACTTCATGACGTCATGTCTAGTGACGTCATCAAACAAAACTTAAAACTTAGATGCTACATTAATCTTTTAAAATATTTTTTCCATAAATGTTAGCAAGATTGTCTAATTATTGGATAAATAGGATCTTTAATTCGTTTCTATTTCCTATACTGGACACGAACTTTTTTCGCTTGCCTCGTATAACAAAATATCGGAATTTATGAAACGTGTCAAACTTTTTTCGCTTGATATGCCTCGTATACACAAATCTATTTAAGAAAATTCGTGAAGGAAGACAAGGACTTTCAGGCAACATGATAAGTTAGTGTAGAATAGAGGTATAAGCTAAGGTTAAATGCTATCTTACTGAAGCACGGAAAACCCGTCAAAAGAGTTCCGAATCGGTGTGTGAATAGATAATTTTACAATATACTGATGAAGTGTTTGTCAAACATTCATAACGCCATGTAAAGGATACGATACATTCAAAGTTACATACAGTATATAATTAAAAAGTACAAATAGGAATGAGGATTTCTTTTTTTATTCGTGAAACGAGTCACAATTTTCTCATCGGATACATCTCTTTTTGACATAGACTTTATCATCATGTCAAAGAAAATAGGGTTTCAAATACAGTAGGATGAGTAAATCCTGAATTAATCAACACTGTAACAGATCAATGTTCAGTACTCTGACTTTTAAAGAGTTTATCTGGAAACTCCCACTGCGCTGTTGTGTTGGTGTTCTCACATGACACGAGCCGAATGACCTGTAAATTTTCGGAGTTGACATCCTTGGACGTCTGCATGGCACATTTAGAACCAGATCCGTCTGTGTACACGAGTAGCTTCCCTTTCAAGTTCCACTTACCAATCTCATCAGTGCAAGGTGCCACGACTAAGAAGTCTGATTCAACTTTTACACATTGTCTACGCACCATCAAACGACCGTTCTCAAGCAATGCAAAATGCTGAGCTTGATAGTAAAAGAAACAGTCGAACAAAACCAGTAACGAATAGGATTTCAGAATGGCCTTGTCCGCCGGGCCAAAACAAAATCCGGAACCAACATTGCGCATGTGTCCAAAATATTGAGTTCCTTCCGGTGGAACATCTAGCTCCGGGAAAACGTTTCTGAGAAGCCAGTCGAACTTTTTACATTTAAACTTCTGTTTTACTGTATCCATTATATCGAATTTCTCTGATGACTTTGGAGGTTTGGCGTACCCATTATTAAAGTAATAAAAGTACTTTCTATAGTCACCAAGCCACATCTCCGCCGTCCGTCTATTGTTGTAAACAAGATCGGAATACTCCATTTTGAATGGGTGTCCTTTTTTGAAAATATGAGCAACGTGAGAACATGGTGCTATTTTCATACTTCCACCACAAAGCCAAACTCTAATGGATAGTTCTACATCCTCACCGCCCCATGTGCGCATACCCGTATCTAGTCCTCCAACACCAAGAAAGTATTTCCGGTTTACCGCAAACGCACAGCCGACGATAGCAGGAGTGTCAAATGCTTTCGTAGGTTGTTCCCAGATTTCCTTCAGTTGTGTTGGTGGTATCGGGACGAACTCATACGCCATGCTCCATTTAAAGTGTCCCCTGATGTTATTTCGAAAGTACTGCCTGTATTGGAATGTTTGTGGATCAATGATGTCGATAGACGGCTGTACGATTGCTGTGCTGTTTTTGCTTATTTCGTACAATAAGGGTTCAAGCCATCCGACATTGACCTCAGTGTGGGAATCGAGGAAGACAACCACGTCACCTTTTGCTAGCTTAGTTCCCACAACTCTTGTTTTCATGGTACCGAGCCTTTCTTGTGTTCTGTATATTCGCATGAGATCAAACTGTTCTACATATTCATCCAGAGCGGATCCTAAGTAATCCAAATCACTCATATCGTCTATAATAATGATTTCGTGTAATAGTAGTCGAGGCGAATGCGTCAGGACGCTATTTATAAGTCTCTCGAACGTGGACCAAGGCTCGTTATGGAGCGGTATCACAATCGACGCCACCGGAAGTAGCTTCATGTCATATTTTACAGAAGCGCACTCGTTGGGGCGGGTATCCGGCACCTTCCGTCTTACCGAAGTCTCGTGAGTTCTTGTGACGTTGATGTGAAAACGGCTCGGATCTATATCTTTGTATAAAGAAATTCCGGAAGACTTAATTATTTCGGAAAATGGTTTGCGTTGTGTTTTCGCTTTGCTTCCGCTTGGTCCATGTTGCTTTGTTTTATCATCAAACCTTTTTCTGGCGATATTTGTTTCAATTTTCACTTTTCTTAACTTACTCTCATTATCAATATTGACACTTTTGATGTCGTATTGCTGGGAAGAGAGGTCCATAAAGGATTTTTGGACCAACACATTTCCTCCATTAGTCAAATGCGGGAAGTACTTTCGAGTTGTCCACATCACAATCGACGCCCAGCAAAGCATTAGTATCAACACGACAGGTCCCCGCATTATCCTGGAGAAGTATTTAATGGGAGATGATACCAACATGTCTGTTGACCTTCCGACGTTCAGTGATACACACGAGCATGAGTATGGAAGGTCAGAGGGGAAGTCAAGGCAGATGTTTGTAATAGTAAGGTCGTAATGTTTGTAATACTGAAGGTCATAATGTTTGTAATACTGAAGGTCATAATGTTTGTAATACTGAATGTCGTAATGTTTGTGATACCAAAGGTCGTAATGTTTGTGATATTTAGTCTTGATCACAACAACTTTGACGTTAATGAAAACATTGACATTTGAAAAACATATCTGGTATTGATTGGTCCGATAGAGTTTCATTAATGATTGGTGTATCATATCATCACACCGAGCGAGCATGTGATGACATCTGTAGTCTGATCAATCAAACATGTGTTGGAGTTTTGAAATATTTAAACAGTCTCGTGATAATCAGTTGAGATTACAAAAATACTCCGATTTTATTACATGTTTACATGTACAATTTTATATAATTTGTATAGTGATGTGCGACACTTAAATAATCAGCATCGTTATGGTAGAGCCATGTTTACTTAAGTTACACGTAAGGTCGCTCGTGTTGCGCGTTAGTCCGTTACATGCTACCGTACATTCTTTCCTCGCTCACTTTTTTACAGTCAAGACTGTCAAACACGTGCATCTCGGGTTAATCGCGTTCCGGGTAGTACGTGTGTTACGGTACGGTCACGAAGCGAAGTTAAATATTGTTGATTTCTATATGAGTTTTGGAGGACGAATGTTTACAATGACAATTCACATCAGACACCTTTGTAAACACAGTAGTTGTATCGATTTGTGTCTGATTAACTTTATAAGATAAAAAAAAAAGCAACGAAAAAAATACAAGTGTTTTCGACTGGCGAGACGCATGTCATACTCCTTTAATGAGAAAAAATATGTCTAACATCGGAATTCATACGACCAATAAACAGGGTCGACTGAAGTCAATGTCAGCTTCCATGTCACATAATATTCTCCACGACGGGTACAACTTCCATGTCACATAATATTCTCCTCGACGGTTACAACTTCCATGTCACATAATATTCTCCACGACGGTTACAACTTCCATGTCACATAATATTCTCCTCGACGGTTACAACTTCCATGTCACATAATATTCTCCTCGACGGTTACAACTTCCATGTCACATAATATTCTCCACGACGGTTACAAAAACCTGTTCCTCAATTCTGGTAACTGACAAATGATTGTTATATTGATATTACATCTAGACAATCTTTTTATCATGAAAAGGCAAGTAGTAGTCCCAAAATTGATAAGTATACGATATGATATTGCATCAGTGTTACATGATAATAGCATTTCTAAAAAAGGGGTTGAAACACTGCAAAATAGTTTCCAAAAAGATACAGAATAGCTGTAAAATAGCGGAGTGAAATTTGGAATCTGTATTTGGCGACACTAATATTATTTGGTGAGATCATAAATCTGAATCACAATATCACTAAATTAGATATGTAAAAATGATGTGATCTCAAAGATCTTAAGCCATCTCGCAAATAAATTCTATTTAGTAACATCATTAAGTCACGATAAATATGGCTATGTCATATTTGAATCATCGATATCAATGAGTTGATATATTGATATCAGTGAGTTGATATATTGATATCAGTGACTTGATATATTGATATCAGTGAGTTGATATATTGATATCAGTGAATTGATTATTGATATTCATCGATATCAGTGAGTTGATTCATTGATATCAGTGAGTCGATATATTGATATCAGTGAGTCGATATATTGATATCAGTGAGTTGATATATTGAGATATATTGATATCAGTGAGTTGATTCATCGATATCAGTGAGTTGATTTATTGATATCAGTGAGTCGATATATTGATATCAGTGAGTTAATTCATCGATATCAGCGAGTTGATATATTGATATCAGTGAGTTGATTTATCGATGTCAGTCAGTCGATATATTGATATCAGTGAATTGATATATTGATATCAGTGAGTTGATTCATCGATATCAGTGAGTTGATTTATTGATATCAGTGAGTTGATTTATTGATATCAGTGAGTTGATTCATCGATATCAGTGAGTTGATATATTGATATCAGTGAATTGATTCATTGATATCAGTCAGTCGATATATTGATATCAGTGAGTTGATATATTGATATCAGTGAGTTGATATATTGATATCAGTAAGTTGATTTATTGTATGAGTTGATATTTGATATCAGTGAGTTGATTCATCGATATCAGATATATATTGATATGAGTTGATATATATTGATATCAGTGAGTTGATTCATTTGATATCAGTGAGTTGATATATTGATATCAGTGATATATATTGATATCAGTGAGTTGATATATTGATATCAGTGAGTTGATATATTGATATCAGTGAGTCGATATATTGATATCAGTGAGTTGATATATTGATATCAGTGAGTTGATTCATCGATATCAGTGAGTTGATTTATTGATATCAGTGAGTTGATTTATTGATATCAGTGAGTTGATATATTGATATCAGTGAGTTGATATATTGATATCAGTGAGTTGATATATTGATATCAGTGAGTTGATATATTGATATCAGTGAATTGATATATTGATATCAGTGAGTTGATTCATCGATATCAGTGAGTTGATATATTGATATCAGTGAATTGATATATTGATATCAGTGAGTTGATATATTGATATCAGTGAGTTGATATATTGATATCAGTGAGTTGATTTATTGATATCAGTGAGTCGATATATTGATATCAGTGAGTCGATATATTGATATCAGTGAGTTGATTTATTGATATCAGTGAGTCGATATATTGATATCAGTGAGTTGATATATTGATATCAGTGAGTATATTGATATGAGTTGATTTATCATGTCAGTCAGTCGATATATTGATATCAGTGAGTTGATATATTGATATCAGTGAGTTGATATATTGATATCAGTAAGTTGATTTATTGATATCAGTGAGTTGATTCATCGATATCAGTGAGTTGATTCATCGATATCAGTGAGTTGATATATTGATATCAGTGAGTTGATTTATTGATATCAGTGAGTCGATATATTGATATCAGTGAGTCGATATATTGATATCAGTGAGTTATATATTGATATCAGTGATATCATATATTATATCAGTGAGTCGATATATTGATATCAGTGAGTTGATTTATCGATGTCAGTCAGTCGATATATTGATATCAGTGAGTTGATTTATTGATATCAGTGAGTCGATATATTGATATCAGTGAGTTGATTTATTGATATCAGTGAGTCGATATATTGATATCAGTGAGTTGATTTATTGATATCAGCGAGTTGATTTATTGATATCAGTGAGTTGATTCATCGATATCAGTGAGTCGATATATTGATATCAGTGAGTTGATTTATTGATATCAGTGAGTTGATATATTGATATCAGTGAGTTGATATATTGATATCAGTGAGTTGATATATTGATATCAGTGAGTTGATATATTGATATCAGTGAGTTGATATATTGATATCAGTAAGTTGATTTATTGATATCAGCGAGTTGATATATTGATATCAGTGAGTTGATATATTGATATCAGTGAGTTGATATATTGATATCAGTGAGTTGATATATTGATATCAGTGAGTTGATATATTGATATCAGTGAATTGATTCATTGATATCAGTCAGTCGATATATTGATATCAGTGAGTTGATATATTGATATCAGTGAGTTGATTTATTGATATCAGCGAGTTGATTTATTGATATCAGTGAGTTGATATCAGTGAGTTGATATATTGATATCAGTGAATTGATATATTGATATCAGTGAGTTGATATATTGATATCAGTGAGTTGATTCATTGATATAAGTGAGTTGATATATTGATATCAGTGAGTTGATTCATTGATATAAGTGAGTTGATATATTGATATCAGTGAGTTGATATATTGATATCAGTGAGTTGATATATTGATATCAGTGAGTTGATTTATTGATATCAGTGAGTTGATATATTGATATCAGTGAGTTGATATATTGATATCAGTGAGTTGATATATTGATATCAGTGAATTGATATATTGATATCAGTGAGTTGATTCATCGATATCAGTGAGTTGATATATTGATATCAGTGAGTTGATATATTGATATCAGTGAGTTCAGTTGATATATTGATATCAGTGAGTTGATATATTGATATCAGTGAGTTGATATATTGATATCAGTGAGTTGATTCATCGATATCAGTGAGTTGATTTATTGATATCAGTGAGTTGATATATTGATATCAGTGAGTTGATATATTGATATCAGTGAGTTATATTGATATCAGTGATTGATATATCGATATCAGTGAGTTGATATATTGATATCAGTGAATTGATTCATTGATATCAGTGAGTTGATTCATCGATATCAGTGAGTCGATATATTGATATCAGTGAGTCGATATATTGATATCAGTGAGTTGATTTATTGATATCAGTGAGTTGATATATTGATATCAGTGAGTTGATATATTGATATCAGTGAGTTGATATATTGATATCAGTGAGTCGATATATTGATATCAGTGAGTTGATATATTGATATCAGTGAGTTGATTTATTGATATCAGCGAGTTGATTTATTGATATCAGTGAGTTGATTCATCGATATCAGTGAGTCGATATATTGATATCAGTGAGTCGATATATTGATATCAGTGAGTCGATATATTGATATCAGTGAGTTGATTCATCGATATCAGTGAGTTGATTCATCGATATCAGTGAGTCGATATATTGATATCAGTGAGTCGATATATTGATATCAGTGAGTCGATATATTGATATCAGCGAGTTGATTCATTGATATCAGTGAGTTGATATATTGATATCAGTGAGTCGATATATTGATATCAGTGAGTTGATTCATCGATATCAGTGAGTTGATTTATTGATACCAATAAATTCAAAATGTAATTTCACAGTTAGTAGTGAATATTAAAACGTTAGGCATTTCACATGGAAATAATAATTTTTTTATATGTTGCAACAGGACAATTTTTTCCCTTTTGTTTTGTTTTTTGGGTTTTTTTCGTGTTGTTATTTATAAACTAACCTGAACGTGACCAGTATGGAGGGTACCTGTCTTTGAACAGGAAGTCGGTATTTAGTTGTATATGTATCCCTTGACTTCCGCATCCGCCATACGTCCGAGTCTGTGGGATGCTCCGTTTTTTTATGCTTGAACTTGTGATGATAACGTCAGATTTGTAAACGGTCTGATCCACACTCGCACTTTGATAGCTAGGGTCATCTGGCCATGTGCTGGGGACTAGGATTTTTATGTCCTTGAAGTACGCCCTCTGGCGAGTAGCTATGTACAATATCTTCGACGCCCTTGTAAAATATTCCTGGTAAAAAAAACACATTTAAAATATGTTGGAAAGTATCAGAAAATTAAGTGTATAAAAGTGGCAAACGTTTATCAAACTTAAGGGTTTTTTTCTGAAGAGGAACATCAAGTCAGTTACGGAGAAAATCTACAGTTCAGTGGAATCCTATTATATGCAATTTGTCAAATTTTAGCAACGATATAATTATAGGTAAACGAAACATGTCAATGCCAACCTCTAAAATGACGAAGCTTGACATACCACTGGTCAGCCATGGAATTAATGTGTTTTCCATACAACTTAGTATTTAAAATAACAAAAAAAGTAACTCGTTAAAATTCAAACTCCAATTGAATAACACTTGGGCGAGATATAAACAAAAGAAAGATTTACGTGGAGACCACAGAAAAAGTACAATGATAATAAGACAATGTGTTCCGAAAGAGTAAGCGTATTTTGCTTCTTCAACGCCACCCGCCATTTGAATCCTGTCAATCCAAGTAAGTAATATCACGTTCCCCTATGAGACAAAAGAAACAGTAACACCACAACCTACACCACAGTGTAGTGTACTATGGATGTAAAATTATATCCATTTAAAAAATGTGTTAAATGCAACCTTCGAAGTGCAGAAGGCGCCATTTAATTCGGCTTCAATCAAGATTATGATTTTAAACCATGTCCTGGTCAACTTATCTGGATTTATGTATTAAATATTATCAACAAACAACCAAAATCCGGAATGGAGTTATTCCCCCTTACAGCGTAAACTATGATATAATTACATATCTCACAGACTAGTATAACATATGGATAACAACAGACCACACTATCAGTACTGGGCCAGTATCATTAGTCTCGATGTGTGAAAAAAATTAAACAAAAAAACAAACAAACAAACAAAAACAAAAAGAAAGAAAGAAAAGACACTCGTAAGGAGGTTTTAGTTTATTATCATATACATACCTAGTGAAGAAGAAATATACCAATCTATTGTAAGATACATATTCGATGGACATGGACAAAAAGGTAATTTTGAACAGGAGATGGTTTATGCAAGTACAAGTATACCAGTAATCATACGAAGGATACTATCAGCAACACTGACAATATTTCGTAAAATTTTCTTTGGCGAAAAAAACCCAAAAAAACAAAAAAGAGATTTTTAAAGTATCACGGAAATGACGTAGACAAAACATCCAAGACACAATAAAAACTGCAAAGACATTGTCTCTTGTCCAGGAAATGTTATCACAGGTCCAGGTGGACCATTTTAGAGGTGCATCGGCACAGTTTATGCTTCCTACTGACACAGTTACCGTCGACGCGAGTCTTACCTTAGTTTTGTTGATAAATGACTGGCTATGTGGAATGGTTTCGTCAAATGCCAGTAGAATGTCGGTGTAAGCATTGTTCTCCAATTTGATGTCCGATTGTCTCGATGCATGCGTCGTCACGGTGAGATTGGTAACAGTCTAATCTCAACAACTATCACTAGTCACAAAACTTACATCTAATTGTGTCAAATGCAAACAATCACCCGTCACAAAACTTACATCTACATGTAAACAAGAGCATCACCCGTCACAAAACTTACATCTAATCCAACAACTCACAAAACTTACATCTAATCCAACAACTATCACCCGTCACAAAACTTATATCTAATCCAACAACCATCACCCGTCACAAAACTTACATCTAATCCAACAACCATCACCCGTCACAAAACTTATATCTAATCCAACAACTATCACCCGTCACAAAACTTATATCTAAGTAAACAATTATCACCCGTCACAAAACTTACATCTAATCCAACAATTATCACCCGTCACAAACCTTATATCTAAGTAAACAACCATCACCCGTCACAAAACTTACATCTAATCCAACAACCATCACCCGTCACAAAACTTACATCTAATCCAACAACCATCACCCGTCACAAAACTTCTATCTAACTAAACAACCATCACCCGTCACAAAACTTATATCTAATCCAACAACTATCACCCGTCACAAAACTTACATCTAATCCAACAACTATCACCCGTCACAAAACTTACATCTAATCCAACAACTATCACCCGTCACAAAACTTACATCTAATCCAACAACTATCACCCGTCACAAAACTTACATCTAATCCAACAACTATCACCCGTCACAAAACTTACATCTAATCCAACAACCATCACCCGTCACAAAACTTACATCTAATCCAACAACTATCACCCGTCACAAAACTTATATCTAAGTAAACAACTATCACCCGTCACAAAACTTACATCTAATCCAACAACTATCACCCGTCACAAAACTTACATCTAATCCAACAACTATCACCCGTCACAAAACTTACATCTAATCCAACAACTATCACCCGTCACAAAACTTACATCTAATCCAACAACTATCACCCGTCACAAAACTTACATCTAATCCAACAACTATCACCCGTCACAAAACTTACATCTAATCCAACAACTATCACCCGTCACAAAACTTACATCTAATCCAACAACTATCACCCGTCACAAAACTTACATCTAATCCAACAACTATCACCCGTCACAAAACTTACATCTAATCCAACAACTATCACCCGTCACAAAACTTACATCTAATCCAACAATTATCACCCGTCACAAAACTTACATCTAATCCAACAACTATCACCCGTCACAAAACTTACATATAATCCAACAACTATCACCCGTCACAAAACTTACATCTAATCCAACAACTATCACCCGTCACAAAACTTACATCTAATCCAACAACCATCACCCGTCACAAAACTTATATCTAACTAAACAACTATCACCCGTCACAAAACTTACATCTAATCCAACAACTATCACCCGTCACAAAACTTACATCTAATCCAACAACTAATCCAACAACTATCACCCGTCACAAAACTTACATCTAAGTAAACAATTATCACCCGTCACAAAACTTACATCTAATCCAACAACTATCACCCGTCACAAAACTTACATCTAATCCAACAACTATCACCCGTCACAAAACTTACATCTAATCCAACAACCATCACCCGTCACAAAACTTACATCTAATCCAACAACTATCACCCGTCACAAAACTTACATCTAATCCAACAACCAGTCACAAAACTTCATCACCCAACTCACAAAACTTACATCTAATCCAACAACTATCACCCGTCACAAAACTTACATCTAATCCAACAACTATCACCCGTCACAAAACTTACATCTAATCCAACAACTATCACCCGTCACAAAACTTACATCTAATCCAACAACTATCACCCGTCACAAAACTTACATCTAATCCAACAACTATCACCCGTCACAAAACTTACATCTAATCCAACAACTATCACCCGTCACAAAACTTACATCTAATCCAACAACTATCACCCGTCACAAAACTTAAATCTAATCCAACAACAATCACCCGTCACAAAACTTACATCTAATCCAACAACTATCACCCGTCACAAAACTTACATCTAATCCAACAACTATCACCCGTCACAAAACTTACATCTAATCCAACAACTATCACCCGTCACAAAACTTACATCTAATCCAACAACTATCACCCGTCACAAAACTTACATCTAATCCAACAACTATCACCCGTCACAAAACTTACATCTAAGTAAACAACTATCACCCGTCACAAAACTTACATCTAATCCAACAACTATCACCCGTCACAAAACTTACATCTAATCCAACAACTATCACCCGTCACAAAACTTACATCTAATCCAACAACTATCACCCGTCACAAAACTTACATCTAATCCAACAACTATCACCCGTCACAAAACTTACATCTAATCCAACAACTATCACCCGTCACAAAACTTACATCTAATCCAACAACTATCACCCGTCACAAAACTTACATCTAATCCAACAACTATCACCCGTCACAAAACTTACATCTAATCCAACAACTATCACCCGTCACAAAACTTACATCTAATCCAACAACTATCACCCGTCACAAAACTTACATCTAATCCAACAACTATCACCCGTCACAAAACTTACATCTAATCCAACAACTATCACCCGTCACAAAACTTACATCTAATCCAACAACTATCACCCGTCACAAAACTTACATCTAATCCAACAACTATCACCCGTCACAAACCTTACATCTAATCCAACAACTATCACCCGTCACAAAACTTACATCTAATCCAACAACTATCACCCGTCACAAAACTTACATCTAATCCAACAACTATCACCCGTCACAAAACTTACATCTAATCCAACAACTATCACCCGTCACAAAACTTACATCTAATCCAACAACTATCACCCGTCACAAAACTTACATCTAATCCAACAACTATCACCCGTCACAAAACTTACATCTAATCCAACAACTATCACCCGTCACAAAACTTACATCTAATCCAACAACTATCACCCGTCACAAAACTTACATCTAATCCAACAACTATCACCCGTCACAAAACTTACATCTAATCCAACAACTATCACCCGTCACAAAACTTACATCTAATCCAACAACTATCACCCGTCACAAAACTTACATCTAATCCAACAACTATCACCCGTCACAAAACTTACATCTAATCCAACAACTATCACCCGTCACAAAACTTACATCTAATCCAACAACTATCACCCGTCACAAAACTTACATCTAATCCAACAACTATCACCCGTCACAAAACTTACATCTAATCCAACAACTATCACCCGTCACAAAACTTACATCTAATCCAACAACTATCACCCGTCACAAAACTTACATCTAATCCAACAACTATCACCCGTCACAAAACTTACATCTAATCCAACAACTATCACCCGTCACAAAACTTACATCTAATCCAACAACTATCACCCGTCACAAAACTTACATCTAACTATCACCCGTCACAAAACTTACATCTAATCCAACAACTATCACCCGTCACAAAACTTACATCTAATCCAACAACTATCACCCGTCACAAAACTTACATCTAATCCAACAACTATCACCCGTCACAAAACTTAAATCTAACAACTATCACCCGTCACAAAACTTACATCTAATCCAACAACTATCACCCGTCACAAAACTTACATCTAATCCAACAACTATCACCCGTCACAAAACTTACATCTAATCCAACAACTATCACCCGTCACAAAACTTACATCTAATCCAACAACTATCACCCGTCACAAAACTTACATCTAATCCAACAACTATCACCCGTCACAAAACTTACATCTAATCCAACAACTATCACCCGTCACAAAACTTACATCTAATCCAACAACTATCACCCGTCACAAAACTTACATCTAATCCAACAACTATCACCCGTCACAAAACTTACATCTAATCCAACAACTATCACCCGTCACAAAACTTACATCTAATCCAACAACTATCACCCGTCACAAAACTTACATCTAATCCAACAACTATCACCCGTCACAAAACTTACATCTAATCCAACAACTATCACCCGTCACAAAACTTACATCTAATCCAACAACTATCACCCGTCACAAAACTTACATCTAATCCAACAACTATCACCCGTCACAAAACTTACATCTAATCCAACAACTATCACCCGTCACAAAACTTACATCTAATCCAACAACTATCACCCGTCACAAAACTTACATCTAATCCAACAACTATCACCCGTCACAAAACTTACATCTAATCCAACAACTATCACCCGTCACAAAACTTACATCTAATCCAACAACTATCACCCGTCACAAAACTTACATCTAATCCAACAACTATCACCCGTCACAAAACTTACATCTAATCCAACAACTATCACCCGTCACAAAACTTACATCTAATCCAACAACTATCACCCGTCACAAAACTTACATCTAATCCAACAATTATCACCCGTCACAAAACTTATATCTAATCCAACAACTATCACCCGTCACAAACCTTACATCTAATCCAACAACTATCACCCGTCACAAAACTTACATCTAATCCAACAACTATCACCCGTCACAAAACTTACATCTAATCCAACAACTATCACCCGTCACAAAACCTACATCTAATCCAACAACTATCACCTGTCACAAAACTTACATCTAATCCAACAACTATCACCCGTCACAAAACTTATATCTAATCCAACAACTATCACCCGTCACAAAACTTACATCTAATCCAACAACTATCACCCGTCACAAAACTTACATCTAATCCAACAACTATCACCCGTCACAAAACTTACATCTAATCCAACAAATATCACCCGTCACAAAACTTACATCTAATCCAACAACTATCACCCGTCACAAAACTTACATCTAATCCAACAACTATCACCCGTCACAAAACTTACATCTAATCCAACAACTATCACCCGTCACAAAACTTACATCTAATCCAACAACTATCACCCGTCACAAAAGTTACATCTAATCCAACAACTATCACCCGTCACAAAACTTACATCTAATCCAACAACTATCACCCGTCACAAAACTTACATCTAATCCAACAACTATCACCCGTCACAAAACTTACATCTAATCCAACAACTATCACCCGTCACAAAACTTACATCTAATCCAACAACTATCACCCGTCACAAAACTTACATCTAAGTAAACAATTATCACCCGTCACAAAACTTACATCTAATCCAACAACTATCACCCGTCACAAAACTTACATCTAATACAACAACTATCACCCGTCACAAAACTTACATCTAATCCAACAACTATCACCCGTCACAAAACTTACATCTAATCCAACAACTATCACCCGTCACAAAACTTACATCTAATCCAACAACTATCACCCGTCACAAAACTTACATCTAATCCAACAACTATCACCCGTCACAAAACTTACATCTAATCCAACAACTATCAACAAAACTTACATCTAATCCAACAACTATCACCCGTCACAAAACTTACATCTAATCCAACAACTATCACCCGTCACAAAACTTACATCTAATCCAACAACTATCACCCGTCACAAAACTTACATCTAATCCAACAACTATCACCCGTCACAAAACTTATATCTAATCCAACAACTATCACCCGTCACAAAACTTACATCTAATCCAACAACTATCACCCGTCACAAAACTTACATCTAATCCAACAACTATCACCCGTCACAAAACTTACATCTAATCCAACAACTATCACCCGTCACAAAACTTACATCTAATCCAACAACTATCACCCGTCACAAAACTTATATCTAATCCAACAACTATCACCCGTCACAAAACTTACATCTAATCCAACAACCATCACCCGTTAAAACATACTTGTTTTTTTCTAAAATTAGCATTGTAGCAGAAAGTAAAAAAAATCCAAATAACGTATTAACTTTTGTGACGAATAATTTCAATTAACTTTTGACGTTGTTTTTAACAAAACATGTATTTCAAGTTACATCTGAAATATCACTCGATATTGTGTACCTCTTTCTGTTAGAAACACGAAGAAAATCGTTTTAACGGCATAAAAAAATCTTTTGTAATTTTCCCATTTGACAAATGGAATTTATATGAAAAGGCCTTTTGATTTATTCGTATTATTTTTGTGAAAAAAAAAATCATTGAGCTTCACTTCGGTCATGATCCATTACTCCTGATGAATAAGCGACACTAGCCATTTCGGATATTTATTTATAGTTTTTGTCCATCAATAATTTTCATTGTAATTGATAGAAAGGAAATGGCGTGGAATGATTTAAATCGAATCGTCAGGTTATCATTTCCCTTGAAACGACGAAATGATAAGATGTAAGGAGTGACGCCCCTTAAGTAGAACTCTTCAACCATTTAAAACATGGCGGATGTTTTGAAACAAGTTTAGACAGCACCTGTCTGTATCGTGTATTTTTGTTGAAGCATGGATTAAGTATGAAAATTGGTGTTTCAAATAATTTCTTCAAAGTATGGAAGGCGGAAATGTTCTACGACAAGACATTAATTTTCAGGGATTGTTTAAGAAACTCGGTAAGTGTATATTAACAGCATCTGAACATTATGCAAATAATTTTGATAGGTATTAAGTTGAGTTAATTAATTGAATAATTGTTCTATTGTTATGAATTGAAATCAGTTGCATCACGTTCGTTTGTTTTTTATAATCATACCATGTAAGTTTTATGTTTTACCCAATGGTTACTATATACATTGTGAAATTATATATCTCAGTGTGTAAAATCAACAGATGAGATGGGTCATCAAACTGTATGCAAACTTTTGAACCCAATTGTTTATTTTCAGTTTCCAAAGGTATATGATTAAACCTACATATATTAATGTCATACATTTACACTGTACTTGTGTAAAGGTTTATTTGTCTTTAAAATTACTGCTGTAAAGTTTGTACACTTGACTTTGACTAGTACACTATGCACAGGATTTGTTCAGTGATGTATTTTACCTCTTTTGACAGGAGCCCTTACTTTTTCAGTTAAGAAAAGACAGCTTTATTTCTGTCAATTCTTTCATTTAAATCAGAAAAATAATATCAATAGATTTTGGTGTTATATTTATTCAGCTTCAGTTTCTGCTTTCTCCACCATTTCTTCATATCAGTTGATGTACAGGGACACTTTCATGACTTCATTGTGGAAAAATATGACAACAAATTGGCAAAAATACAACAAAATTTCTCTACGTGAAGGGATCTGTATTCTGCCCCAAATTTACTTAAAAAATAATCACCAGAGTTGAGAAAATAAATTGCTTACCCGATTTATGTGTAATACAAAATTGTATCATTTTCCAAATATTTTTGTTTAGGTCATGATCTAGAAGAAATTCGTGTTCGAGCTCTAGATAATCTGCTCTCCAAACTAGAACACAAACTGGTGTGTGATGCTGATTTAGTGAATGAGAGACATCTCCTTATCAGACTGATAGAATGGTTCAATTTCCCGAGCAGTACCAAACACAAGGATGTTTTATTTCTTTTACAGCGGCTATCACAGGTTTGTAAGAGATCTTAAAGCAACCAGAGAATTTTTTGAAAACAAGTTGCAAATGAACTGTGATAGGGATATCAAAATCCAAATGAAAACTAGTAAGCTTTGAATTAGGAAATGCATACGGTATAAGTTTATGATATTGTAAATAACTTATTAAGCTATCCTGTATCAATTATTACTTATTGTACTTAATGGGTAGGACTGAGAGTATTAAGAATCAATTATCAATTGTTTCACTTGAAACTGTAACCAGTTTTCTGAAAATTCAGATTTTGGCGGATCAAAATGTAGTGCCAGAGCTGGCCCTGAAATTCTCCACTTATTACATTTGTACAGGAAGAGAGTTCAAGTCACTTTACTGGTCTAGACTAGTGGAAATTTCCCCTTAATCAAGCAAACACACCTATACAACTGGCTTTTATATGAATTGTATTAAGTATATAATTGAATAAAAGACATTAAAGCTACATGTTACAATATTTCTTTGTGTAAATTTTTTTCAAGCACTCTGCTGCGGCAGAAATCCTTCAGGATATAGGTGCTATAGAGTTTTTGGGTAAACTGAGGACAGATGTGGCCAGTTCACTACAGCCAGTGATTGATCAAGTGTTGGAGAACACCATGAGATTACCAGAGACAAGGGCAGAGGATCATGTCCCTCAGTGCTTCTACCAAAGACATACAGAGGACACAGGTACACTTATCTGGTATACTATAGTAGATGATGATACATGCTAGATCTAATGCTAATACATAACTCTTTCTTGTAGATACAGTTTATGTATATATTCCAATATAATTTACCAGAATTGGTTTCTAGTATCATTCTTGTTAGCTCAACTGGTCCAAAGGATCAGTTTTGTATAAAGGGTAGGTCTCTGCCTACTGGGATAGGAGGTACACAATCCAATAGGGGAAATAGAGCAAATTCCTTAACCCTTTCGGCGCCGTAGGTGACTTAAGTCAACATGCAGACAGGCCGCCGTGGGCGACTTTGGTCGACAATTTTTGTATCTTTATTATATATATTTTTATAATATTTGGCGCTGAGCTGTACATTGTGAGAGATATTTGGTGCCGAAAGGGTTAAGTTAACATCATCAGTCATTACACTCACAATTTCCAGAATCTGTCCAACAACATATCATGTCTGGTTGGGATTCCATGGGATCACAAACAAGCAGTTCTTCTGTCCAACTTTCACCACTGATCCCCGACGCCCCACATATAGCAAGTGGAAGAGATGTGGGCATGGGCTACTTCCAACAGCAACAGCAGCAGCAACAACCACCTGTATCCTCCCAGCTAGTGCAGCAGAACTCGGAGGCTGTCATTCAAGGTAAAGGTTGATAGAAGAGGAGATAAGAAAAATACTTCAATGATTTTGAAGTGATTTGACCTAACTTGCATATTCTATTCCATCCTTATATATGGGTGACTCAAACCTACACAAGGAATATCAACATTTATTCAATCAAATACAGTAATAGTATGAAAAGTTGAAAGTCAATTTAGTCTTGTGTAGAGGCATTTTGTTAGATTGGTTAGTATTTAAGTTTCCAGTGTATTCTGTTTGGAATTGTCTCCATTGACTGACTTCTTGTTGTTTGCACAAGTAAAACTATTTTTAGCATTGATGTCTTTAAGTATGATTGCATATGTTTATTTATTTTTTTTTTGTTGTGTTGACAGGAAGAAGTGAGAGTTTTCAGTTGTCAGCATTTCCATGGCTAGCACTCACACCAACAGATCGACATGTCATACAATCGACAAATTCGTGAGTTTTTACTGAGAACTCATTCAAAAGAAACCTTTAATTAAGTTGTATCACCAAGCAGGTTTAATGATCATTAAAAATCATTTTCTGATAATAGCTTTCAACTTTTCCTTCACACATCTTATGTCTGATTTTGGAATCAACCTCTGGATTAATTTGTTACAACAAGTGTGCTATCAGTCTACTAACAAACATTATCAAGGTTTGGCTGTCTTATTGTTTTTGTAAGTGTTTATGGCAGACTTAGAATGATATTCAAATTAATGCTGTCTTCACTCCAGATCTCTACAGAGTAGAGAACCACATCTCCTGGTGAGCTCTTGCGAGTTTCTTAGTGATGTCGTATTCCAGGACTTTCCTGCAGAAATCTTTCTTCAGAGGCCAAATATTGTCAAAGTAAGAATTTGTAAGATGAAGACTTATCCAAGGAACAAGATTTATACTTTAATGTAGGTTTACATCTAAGGTTAAAAAGAATGAGGTCCTACCAATAAAACTGTAGGTACAATAAACTTCCTTGATGAAGTATTTGTGAAATGTTAGCAGTATTAGTCATTTTCCAATGACAAAAAAGGTTATAAAGGTAATGGGCCTTATTAACATGTCTGTCATGTTTTTATCATAGCCACTTTTTTTTCACAGAATTTATTATCAATTCTTGGAAGTCCATCCAATTCTAACACCAACCTGACTATGAGTGCTGCACGCACACTGGGTGACTTGGCATTTTCTCTGAGAGCAAGGATGCGATATTATCAAGATCCAACATTGTGTACACCAAAACAAGGTTTTTCTGCCATTACTCTGTAACAAAAAATGAAATCATATATAATACATGCATCATGTAATTTATAGAAAGGTACACTCTTCAGTCACACACCAGCCAAAGCTTTAATCTTAAGAATGACTTTTACTTACATCAATACAGAAATCTTACTTTGATAAACTTAATGGGAATAATTGAACATACAAATTATTTAAACTACTTAAGTTATTTCCAGAACTTACTGTCTATTTTACTTTTTCAGAGTTTACATCCTCTTCTTCCTCCCCATTTTCTGCTTCACCAAGTACAGAGTCGAACCAGTCCACCCCTTCTGAACCTCGACCATCAGCTATTGGGGTTACTGATACACGTCACCGTGGTGATGGTAGAGATGGAGATTCTTCTACTTCTTCCAGCAGGTAAAACTTTAAATCTTTATTCTCTAAAGATTTTTTTTTTGTTGGTTCAAAATTTTACTGCTAAATTACAACTTGCTTACAAAAGTCTTTTTCTTTCCTTTAGTACAGTGGTTATTTATAAAAATCATTAGTTGTGAAATCTGTTTTAAGAAATGAAGTTTTGACTTTGATGTGTAGTAGAATTAGAACAAGATTAAATACATCAGCATGATGATAGTTATATCTTCTGTTAAAATTTCCAAGTGTTGTATTGTTGCCTGTAAGCAATTGTCATAGATAATTGATATACTGCTTCTTACCATGGTAGCTCGCGGGCATCTAGTATTGGCCTTGGCCCTGACATGACCACAACACGAGAGGAGACCGACATTGAAGATGCTCCAGCCTTACAGTTTGTACAGCTCAGCCTACCACAGTTCTGTGCCCTGGTGTTGGAGAAGGCTCTACCATTGTTAAAAACTGGCGTGGAAAGTGTGATAGTTCACCTGTTATACCTGCTGAAGGAGAGTTTCAGCATTCTTGTGGCCGTGGTCAGTCCCTGTGTCTGGACCGACACTAGTCCTGCTGCTAGAGAAATTGTAAGTCACTCTGTGTGTAGAAGGGGAATTGTCTTTACCAGTGATTGAAAAACTTATCATTTCACCAGTGATTGAGAGAAAAAGACTGGGCCATGTATGTATTCTGAGTTATGTGAATATGCTGCCATAGATTATTTTGTTAACTAATAGTCATGACCTGAAATAAAATTTAACTTCTATTGAACCAATAGGTAGAGAAGATAACAGGATGTCTAAGTGTCATCGCCGAGCTAATGAATTATCATCACTATGGCAATAGTGAGCTTGAAAACAACAAATCTGGATTGATTCCTCACAGGCTGGCTTACCTTGGTATCTGTGGCTTTTTGAATCAACTGCTTAAAGATCTCATCCCCTTTCAAAAGGTACTTCTTTTCTTTATACATCTACAAACCAATTTTTCACTTAGTTGAACGATGAGTATTATTTAATCTTATAACATCAAAGCTATTTAATTGCCATATTTGGTAAATCCAGTGTTGTCATATTGTTTATGATCATGCTTTAGCTGAAAGAGGATTGTTTGACAATAATTTGACAAAGCTGTTGAAATAAAAAATCTGCCTTTATTTTACAATCTTTAAACATATTATTTGTGAGAACATTTTCACAGGGCTTGTTTACCAGTCATTTTTGTGAGCATTTTTTTTTGGCTGTTTGACACAAATCATATATATATGTGTGATGTTTCTTCTTATTTTTCTAGGCACGGAGTTTACTGCCTGAGAACTTGGTGAAAGCAATAAACGTAGCAGTATACGATGAGAGTCTGTCCCACAGTTACCCTGATATACAGATCACACTTTTGTCTGTACTACAACTGGTGGACACTAACTTGTACCAGGTGTATGTAGATACTGCCAAGGTCGCCCAGTCCATGCATAAATCCTGTAAATTCCTGATGCTGTGTCAGCAAGAGGTTGGTATACTAACAAAAGGGCCATAACTGTTATAATTATACTGCTACTATGAACAAATCCTGGGGCTATAAGTATACTAGTTCTATCGAATGTGGACCTGTCTATGAAGGCTACTTAAAGATGCAGAGAAATGTTCTCTTTATTGACAGTAGTCTTAATATAGAGGTTTAGTAAGTTTTGGTGGTGAAACATTAGGAACCAAGTCAAATGGCTTTTATAGACAGGGAACTGTGATATTGAGGTAGTCACTAAGGCAAGTTTACCTGGATTTAACCTTACATCTTGATCAGGGGTTGTGATATAATTGTTTGGTCTTTAACAAGGATCATGTATTGAAGATATTCTTTACATTCCTAGATGTTAATGTGTGTGTCAGATCTCTATCATTTATACCTACAGGCCTACAAGGGCAACAAAGAGCTTGCTACACTGGCCGAGGCATCACTGTCGAGTCTCCAGTATCATCTTCATCTTCCTCTTGTCACCGAGTTTGTCAAACTTACATCCTCTGTGTAAGTTTATTACACTTAACAAACATCAATGTTATAGTATAACTTTAGAGTGTGGTTCACTGTTGCTGTGTAACATTTTTAGAAATCAATTGTACAATATTCAAGTTCTAGTGCAGAGCAGTCTGAAAACAGTAAAAACTGTATTTTGATTCTTTCCATGGTAACTGAGAAAATATCAGAAAGAGATGTTGCCAATAGCAAAAGGCACAACTAGGGCAAAAGCCGAATATGTATACAAAGATTTGTTGAGATCAGTGGAATGGTTTTCGAGATGCAGCCTGGAAAAGTTTATAAAAGTGAATTTTGTACTTTTGACTATGTTTCTGAGGTATCAGAGAAATCTCCCTGAAGTTCATTATTGAAATCTCTTCAGTAATAGACAATTGAATTAATATTTTATAGGTGTGCAAGTGTCACAGTAGATCAGGATCTTCAAGGACGCTGTAAACAGGTGTTACTAAAGTACCTAGCTAACCCACTGGTGCAAGTACGACAGCAGGCATACAACACAATGTTACAAATTATCAAGGTATATATTCTCTCTTTACATCCTGGTACAAATTTGACAATAGACAACACAGTAAATATTGTCTGTCTGTCTTCCAGTATAATTTCTCAGAACTATTCAATATTTACATACCTCAATACATGTTGATAAAGCTGACAAACCAATGGAAACATGTTAGGACTCTTCATTTTCCTTGAAATGTCTTGAGAAAAAAAATTCCGTTACTTGGATTAGAATTGTAAAAGTTGTTTTATCTTCTTTGTATGGGCAAACAATTGGGAGAAGAAATGCATCTAGACTTACCCGGCGATAAATGATAACATTTAACTCTTTGTATTCAGGGAGCTGTTTGCGTGAATGAAGCATCAGATCCGAACTCTGAGGCATGCCGACTTGGTCGCTTTCTTTTTGATACAGACATTCTTTACCAGATCACAGTGTTTGGACTGGACGACAAGGATGTCAAGGTAACCATTTGTACTGACTAGTAAAGTGTTCAAATATCGGCAAAATTTTTTGAAACCAACTGATTACAGTACAACTGCATCAAGGGAATGGTGACACCTGACAGTTATCCAGATTTGGATACACTATAGGATGTGACAAAATAAATGAAAGCTTTGGCCCTACTATTGATAGACTATTTTGTGAGCACAAGAAAAATAGCATTACATGCTATACTCCCAAACTGTGGATGTTTATTTGTCTATAGAAATGTTGATTTTGTCTTCTGCGACAGGTTGCCAAGACAGCAGCTGACCTGATGTGCTACCTATTGAACAGTTCTTTAATGATGACCTCTCACCTGTGGAATGAGTTTATGGACAGCCTGCTAAGGCCACTTCCTGTCCTCCAGGTACTTTCATCTGAAATTGTTACCTACTGGCTTTATCACTGATGGTATACCACCTACTCTCTGTTGCACCAGACTATTTTATTGACTTGAAGAGGAGAAATTAATATAGAAATGATACCTTCCATGTGTGTGTCTATGAGTACAATCTATTATATTTCATCTGGTGAAATCACCCAGTGATTGCATTTTCAACCGTGCTTTGAATACACTGGAAATCATATTTTGAATTTACATTAAACCATCTCATGAATCGACTTCAAAGCATTGTGTGAATACATCACACTAATATTAGTTATTGTATTGCAGTCCTACTGTGACCAAGAGACAAGCCTTGGGAAGTGCCTGTTGACTATGTCTGATCCACAGATTACAAAAAGTCATAGTTCCCTCTCCTCTCTTGAGAAACTCAGAGCTACACTCAGGCACATGTTTTCATCAGATGTCAGGTGAGTTATGGAGAACTCAAACAGGTTGATTTAAAGCTCAGTTGAACTTATTTGGGTTACACTGTTTTAAAGACACATTTATTAAGGGGAAAAAGCACATCCTTTCATTATCCAGACTAACAACTGTCAAACAGCACTTCATAATATCCCATCTTCCTGCGCATATTTATTACGTGGTGATTGCCAGAATAAACAGCAGAAATAGAAATACTATGTTTTTGTGTGGATGGTAAAGGAGAAAGAGATTTTCCTATTTAGATAATTCTGTTTTTATATACATGTATATGAGTCTTATTACAGAACTCGAGCAGAGGCACTGAAGCGTGTCGCCTGGTTTCTTTCTAATGAAAAGGACAGTACAAAAAAGCTACCAGTTTTCTCTGAACTGGATGTGACAAACTTAACCAACATATTTGTGATGGAGACACCCAGGTCTGTTGATGATGACCTTGGCCGATCTGTATTCCAGGTAGGTTTTCTGTCTTAGAGGTTAAGTCAAGTTTGAGATACAGCAAAGAAAAATCATAAAAAACGTATGGAAGATACAGAAATTCTACTGAAGCATTTAGAATTTGGATCAGAATCGAAAATTTTCTGAGATTCACAAACCAAAAATTTCACTCAAATATAGAAATGTATAAGTTACCACTCCCACATAACATAAACAATGTTAATGTGCAGATTAATAAAGCTGGTACAATGTAATTGGAAAGAGAAGGGAAAAGAATAGTGTATCAATGGAATGAAATATAAGCAGTTTTAAGAAAGCTTCACTGGAAGTGTGTTTAAACTGTTGTTAACTCTTTGTTGTGTTACAAGAGCAAACAGTATTTATCAGTATACATATATTCTTGAACTGACCAAAATGTCAACAGAACTATTTTAGTTACTTCAAGTTGATAAGTATGAGGAGTAGAATTTTATTTGTAACTAAAGTAATCATATATGTTAATCACATATCAGATTAGAATATTGAAGCTGTTTCAACATCAGTTAAGAATCCCTGATTTCTTAGTACCTTACTTGTGTTCAACAGATTGATGGATTAAGGAAAGTCAATGAAATTTTCAAGTCCATGTCAGTGGATCCAGGGGTGAAGAAATCTGCAGCTGACCAACTTGCCATTATACTTCAAGGTGAGTGAAATGAATATTATATGTTATAATAAACAAAAGGTTCAAAGTATATCTTATGGGTGGTTGAACAATCAGTGGAAAATAATTCTTAACTCCCAAAAAAGTTTCACCAAGGTTGTGTTTGTGAAGCAGTTGAAACAGCTAGGTCTGCTGAACCTATGAGAGAAATGCCAGATTTGGACCGAGGCTGGACTGAGGAATATCTGGCATGTGCAGTTTAAGTTGATCCAGCTGTGCCTTTCTGAGACTAACTTGCTGAATATAGAGGGTTGATGCCCTCATATACTTCTGAAAGTAATTTAATATTCAGTTCAGGTTAATATGGAACATTTTATCTTAGATTCATTGTTCAATATCTGACAGGAAATTCTGAAATGTGTATTTTGAGCATTACACATTTCCATCAGAGGTGTGTTCATTTATCATAGAATATTTAATGTCACTTGAACTGTTTCAACCAGGTTACACATGAGCAGACCAAGTGTATTCCCTGATCAACTTGTACTTATTTTTATGCCAAAATCTTGATGCAGGAGATAGGTGAAAGAGATGACCTAGGTGAAAGAGATGACCTAAATTATTTATCCTTGATTTTTCTATAGATCATAATTTACATTCCGCATTTAAAAGAGACGGAGGATTGGAAAGTGTTCTGGAGCACTTAAAGTTGGCCATTTTACGAGACCAGGGACCTAGTAAGGTATTTATGATTAATTTAATACTTATCAATTGTAATTCAAATTTTGAAAGCGTGTAATAAAATTAGACATACCTGAATTAAATTGAATGTTTATTGTCCACAGATTGATTACTTGCCATACCTGAATGCCTGTGTGACCATACTTAGATACCTTATCCACCATGACTATACACTCCGACACCGACTGGCTACAGACCAGGAGATATATACCTGTTTAATTAGAGGTAAAATACACAGCTTAATCTCAGCACTAAATCTTCAGAGATACAAATATTGAAGAGAATATGACAAGAGAACATTTCCGTACCAGTTTATATATATATTAGATCTTAACTGAAATTTGGAAATAGAATTACTTGTAGTTCAAAATGTAGATGACATGTTGATGAAAACCAATGTTTTATTTTTAGCGGCCTTTATAAATCAGAGGGATGAGAGAACATGCTATGAGGCAGCTCACACTCTCACACTCCTTCTGTTTGACGAGGTCGCCAAGTTTGATATGGGGTAGGTCCATTTTTTTTTATATATTTTTTCATATGATATATTGCAATGTTGGAAATATCATTTTTATTTATTTTGTATTTTCACCTTTTATTAACAAAATTCAAAATAGGACACACATTGTATTGTTATAGCGAGCTAATGGAATTGTTAAGTTTGTACATAAAATGATGATGTAAATATTATAATAGTATACTGCCATATAAAGTCAGACATTCATGTGTCTGCTGCAGGATTTGTTTTATACAGTCTACATGAAGATAAAATCTCTGCATTAGTACATCTCTTGAATTGTGTTTATGTAGGCATTTGATCGTGTTGTTCTAGCCAAAGTCAATGTGTTTGAAATTTCTTTTAAATAATCAATGATGTCAATAGACAAGTGTTAATAGGTTACCATGTTTTTTAAGTTTTCTATTTATGTGTTTGTTTTATTGAACTCCAGAGAAGAGGACTGATTTATATATATCATACAAGGCATGGATACAATGTATTGATTTATTTCAGAGGAGGGCAAAATCCAGTTGTGACATTTTCAATACCAAAAGTTTTGAAGAAAAGGTAAATTTTGTTTTTAAAATATTTACTTGTTTATGGTCTGATGGCTACGTGTCTGTGTACAATGTAAATTATCTTGATGAAATTACATTACTTTTACAATCTTGGATAATCTGAAGAAGTCTAAATTTACAGCTCTATCTGACATATGTGATACAGATTTAAAATGTTTTTGCTCTAGCTGTCATACACTCATATGTAATTTTCCCTCAAGAAATCCCATACCTGGTATACCAGCAAGGTATTGACCAGCAGTGACCATTGAATTGTCCAAATGTTCTACAGATACCGTTTGCCCTTCCGACCTGTTTGTCATCATGAAGTAAGTCCTCATCAAGGCTCCCTACCTGCAGAGCCAGATCTTCTGGCAAATGGACCCCCAGCAGAGATGTTGAAGGTTGTGTGGAACGTAGCCTGGCATGGAGGAATGGACAAGCTCCTCTCTCACCTAAAACTGCTGAAGACTAAACAGGACAAGTTCACAGAGTATGTAGAAACTTAAAGTAAAAAACAAAATCTGTAACAAACCTACCCGCATGGAATATTCATAATGATATTTTATACACTTGGGTAAAAGGGGGATGGTATATAGTAATCACTTTGTTTGTGTGTGAGTGTATTATCTGTGTGTGTGCATCCTCGATAATCTTGTGTACATGATATATAAGAAACTCCTGAACAGATTTGTTTATATCATAGCATCATATCACCAAGATCTACACCTGATTATGTATTAATGAGCATTAGTCAAGGTTGAAGTTGACTGCTTACTTCCTGATCCAGGGGTTTGGGGGTTTTGGTGGGGGGCATATCTATGCAAGTCCCTCCAGATCCAGGGGTTTGGGGGGTATATTATGTAAGTCTCTCTTGATCTGATCCAGGGATTAGGGGTGGGGTGGGGGGTTATATCTATGCAAGTCCCTCCAGATCCAGGGGTTTGGGGGGTATATTATGTAAGTCTCTCCTGATCTGATCCAGGGATTAGGGATTGGGGGTTGGGTTATATCTATGCAAGTCCCTCCTGATGCAGTGATGGGGGGTATATTTATATAAGCCTAACCTTATCAAGGGATGGGGAGGTATATCTATGTAAGCCTCTCCTAATCCAGGGATGGGGAGGTACATCTATATAGGCCTAACCTCATCAAGGGGTGGGGAGATATATCTATGTAAGCCTCTCCTAATCCAGGGATGGGGAGGTACACCTATATAGGCCTAACCTCATCAAGGGGTGGGGAGGTATATCTATGTAAGCCTCTCCTAATCCAGGGATGGGGAGGTACATCTATATAGGCCTAACCTCATCAAGGGGTGGGGAGGTATATCTATGTAAGCCTCTCCTAATCAAAGGGTTTGCGGGTATATCTATGTGTGCCCTCATGTTCCAGGCCTGGGGGTTGGGTATATCTATGTAAACCCCTACTCACTGTGTATTTTTGATATTTTTATGCTATAAAATGGTCCGTGGGACTTTCATCTTAATGGGACTTTTATTTCCTGGGAGGTTTGCTGTCAGTGAGGACTGCATGGGAGTCAGTTGGTGGCAGTTATTAAAGAATATCACACTTAAATCATGAGGATGTGGTTTGGTTACACTTCCACACACTTAACAAGGAACATGTGAAGACTGCTCTGTAAGGATTAGGTTATACAGAAAAAGTCTTTAGCTGATCTTTCTAAGGTAAATTAATGTTGTTTATTGATTGCATATGCTTTGTTGCATTTCAGATTCTCAGTGAAGCTGCATCTGACCTGTTCTGACCGTGTGATTATTCAAGCCACACATCTGCGCCAAGGTATGCAGGAGGCAGTGTTTGATATCAGTAATGCCACCTCCCATAAAGGAGTCAGCACAGCACTCAACCGACTCCTCACCTACCTCGTCACTGCTCAAGGTCACCCAGGGGTCGATGATGTATTCAACTTGGATTGGTTCACCACCATTGGCAGGTAAGAGACTGGAGATCTTTAAGTGCTAACTCAGCATGTTTACAGGGCTTTTGAATGGACCCTTATAATGGAGTTAAGTGCATGGAAACTAGAAAATATGTTAAGATTACTTCTGTGAATGATTATCTTTCTCTTATGCCACAGGCCTTAGTTTGTACAGTGTTGTCAATGCTTGTTAGAAGTTTTCTTGGAATCGTTAATACGACATACCATTGTTATAGTTGGCGAATCATTCTTGTCCTAATCCAAGGGTGATGTAAAAAAATTGACTCAAAAGTAGGCTTGTATGATATGAATATTTTACCCAAGGATTTAGAATTTGGATCAGAACTTTGGCTTTACCGAGATTCTAAACACTATCAAATGAAAAGTATTGTAGTTGCAGCCAAGTGTGAAAAGGGCTCTCTTAATAATTGTTTTTAATTATGTCCTAATTATGCATGGTAATACTGTGTGGAAGGGTTTGGATAGGAAAGGAGGGAAGTCATTCCATTTCAGCATCAATAAAATCAGTTTCGTAATACTGGACTTGTCATGGTATGGTGTGTCGTCCATCCATCATAAACTTGTATTTGTCCAGAAATCTCCTTTCGCATTTTTCATTGATTTTTGAGCTCCCAGAAAACATTCAGGGAAGAATATAGTTGCTGCTTTGTCCATCTTTTTGTGTCTTGAGCATAACTTTGCTCACATTAAGCAAGTATCATACTATGAGGATATGCAGTGTGATGAATTCATGGCCCACAACCCCTCAATCACAGAGATATTGCCCTTTTGTTAAATTTCCTGTCTGTAGCATAACTTTGCTTGCATTGAAATAAGGATAATGAAACTCGGGCTGCTTTTACATAACCCAGTTAAAATAATTCAGGTGGTCTGGAATTATTCCACTATACACAAACACATGTACCGAATATTGGAACTGATATAATGTAAAGATCAAAATGCACAGTTACGGAATTTCCTGTCAACCATAAAACTATTAAATAAATTAAAGATACCATCAATTTCTCTTGCACTTAATAGTGTAATCCTTCCTGAAATATTTCAGTGCACTAGTCCTACTTTATGCTGAAATTCTCTAAACTATTGATCAGAGCTGTTATCATATATCGACATCGCAATGTATCGTGATTAAAAAAGCAGGACGACGATATCACAGAAAATGATACGATCAGCAATATCACTGCTGGCGAAAAGTAAGAAGGAACAGTTTAATTTTCAGGTGAAAACATACATGATTTCCAGACAAATAAAGCACAAAAAGTTGTTGTCGACAGCTGTTCATTCAAAGTCGGTAAACATAGTGAAACAATGTTAGGAAGGCAGTCAGCTTTTTGAAACAGTAACCAATCAGCTGCGACCTAAACAGTTGAAGACACGCCCACACTACCAGAACTGCCTTCCATACAGCTGATTGACACTGTCAATCAAATCGATGACAGTCACTCAGAACCAGATGAAAAACAGACTTTCTCAACAATGTTTTATTAGTTAACCACGAGAGAAAAAGTTTGACATGGGAGCAAATATTATTCCAGGAAATTGCTTGTTACTTAAAAGAGTGTACTAGAACACCAGCCAACACAAATGTTGACCCATTACAGTGGTGGAAAGACCAGGTCGTTGTGTACCCGAATCTTTTGCACTTTGTCAAACTTTATTTATGTGTTCTGGCAACGAGTGTACCGTCCAAAAGGATTTTTAGTTGTGCTGGAAACACTCTTACAAACAAACATGCAACATTATCAGATGACAATGTGGATAAATTAATTTTTCTCATTAAAAACTTGCAATTACTGAAAATTCTAAAACTGATGAACTCAAATTGAGATTAACTCAGGTGCAATTAAAAGTAACATTTCTGTCACTTATATATGTTCAAATCAAATAAAAATAACATGGAATTTCATTTATTTGCTGATAGAAATAACTAACTTGGAACACAGTATTAACATTCAGATTTTATTTGATAAAATCAACAAAATTAGACGATATTGTGATGCAGTTTTTCCCCCACGATAACAGCTCTACTAATGATATTCAGCAAGTTTGTTTCGAACAGGTACAGCTGGACCCCTAAATTTGTACATCCCAAATATTCCGCAGTCCAGCCTCTGTCCTGATCTGTACCTTGCATATTTCTTTCAAGTTTGACTGGCCCAACTGTTTCTACCGCTTACGAGAAAGTGGCCTTGATCCATTCATTGGTCGCTTTAAGCCAATGTGCAGTGTACCAAATTCAGGGTTGGCAACCCCTTAATTACAGTTATTTCCCTTTGTTAAAATTCTATGTCCAGTAAAGTTGTTTTTAGAGAGCATTTATCAGGTTCACTAATACTTTTGTTTTAAACTTGATAGGCTGAATCACCGTGACACAAAGTTGTGTTTCCGACTGCATTTGGATGAGTTACCAGCCCTTGTTGTTTTCTTAATGTTAATCTTGTCTGGAGACCTCCTCCCTCAATTTCATTTCTCAGTTTACAACCAATCTACTTGAACTTTTATATACTTCGATTTATGATTAAAACATATAGAGCAATTTTCCCTGGTGACTTTTAAATCATTATTACTATTTCCATATTTGTATTCTTTATGATGTCATGAATATTTCATGGGAGTGAAAAGTATGTATATTGTTCTGTCCTGTGGTTAAAACTTGGTAAATGACAACTTTGTCATCAGCTACACCGACTGAAAGATAGCACCAGAAAAATGTCATTTGGCATACATAAAAAAAAATCCAAACAAAGCAGAAACAATCTCGGGTCATGATTTGTCATCTTGTCATTTATAGAATAAGACAATACTTTGTCATCTTGTCATTTATAGAATAAGACAATACTTTGTCATCTTGTCATTTATAGAATAAGACAATACTTTGTCATCTTGTAGTTTATAGAATAAGACAATACTTTGTCATCTTGTCATTTATAGAATAAGACAATACTTTGTCATCTTGTAGTTTATAGAATAAGACAATTCTTTCATGTACCATAGGAATGTGCTTTTTTATGTTTCCAAACAATCAGAAAGAATTTCATTCCTTTTACAATAAAAGTTGAGGTACAATATATTTGCAATAAACATAAAGTGAAAAGTGGATTGAATAAAACCGATATACATGAACGTAAGTTTGAGGTAAGTTTGTTTTTTGGAGTTTGATGGAAAATAACTGTTTATACAATGTTTGACTGGTTAATGTGGTTTTCAAGGCTCTAAATTGAAAACTATTCATTGAATCTCTATGAAACTTTTTTATGTATATATCAGGCTGCAATAATCTAGTTGTACTTTTACTATTTGCAAGATTTCATTTTTTACATTTTCTCTGCTGCCATGGAAACAAAGTAAGAAATATGAAATTAATTGTTTGCAAACTTGAAAACTGTTACTATAAGGTAGATACTATATATGGATATAAATATCTTGTATGGATATTTGTACCAATAACAGGACCCAAACGCTAATACAATGCACTGTTTCCGGTTGATATGAGGCATGCTTAGGTGTAGGGAATTAATGGCCAAATAGAGCAATTTCTTCAAATCCCCTGATTGGAATAATTCAGTTTTCCCCTAATTTAATCTGAAGCATCCTTGGTGAAAAGGGCTCAGTTTTTATAAACTATGCATCTTACTCCAATTAGAGCCTTCTTGGGTAAATGAAGAAAAATCTTTTTTTTTTTTGATGAAGCCAATTCAACAAAATAAATGAACAAAAGTAAACTTTACTTATCCAATAGTTATATTATCCTCTCCTGCCTTTTGAAGAAAAAAAAGAAGGTGTTGAAAAGGTACAATAAGTAGAAACCTGTTCATCATTTTGAATTTGAGAAAAAAAAAAAATATCAGCCCCCAGGGAGGATCGAACTCCCGACCCCTGGTTTACAAGACCAGTGCTCTAACCACTGAGCTATGGAGGCTTACATTTAGCGTAGGTAGAAACTTAGATTAAATAGGCAATGTAAGGTAAACTTTCCAATCAATACGTAAACTCTGTTGGTTATACAGGAGAAACGGTATTTTTTAGCGATAAAACAAGACTGTTATCAAGATGTTTTGTGTACAAATGTTAGCCGACAACCATAATACCCAGTCTGATGACAGTAAACACACGTGGCAGCCTGACGTCATAGCACAACAAATTCTATAAATAGGCGAGGTCAACTTTTCAGACAGTTGGGACGCCGTAATATTAAACGTTAAAACGATAAATTAATAATCCCAGTGTGACTTTCTAAGCCCTATGAAATGACCGACGATTTAACGAAAGTTATTCATTTATCCTGGATATGTTTCTGTTCAACGGTTTTATAGACAAACCACACGTTTATTGTCAGCTCTGATTTCTGAACGATGTGCGCACGACAACGAGTCTCTCCAGAAAACGAAACTAGAATTAAGATGTCGTAGGCGGCTAACAGTCAACACTTTAAAACCAAAACACTCTATTAAAGTTAAGAGCAATGTGCGAAAGTTCAGTTTCAATTGATTTTGTACCCTACTCCAGCTAATTAGTGGAGTTAGTTCATATGTATGGATAAGGGATCTTATTCAGCAATCGATATTGTGATCACTTTTGACAACATTTACAATGCAATGTTCATCCCATGTGCGAAATAAACCTATTAAGCCTATGATAGATTATTTGATATTTGCACTATATTATCATAGGGTTATCTGTCCACTTGTTTAGGAAAGCCCATGTATACAGGATATTTATATTTTTTCACCCATGCACTCATTGATCAAGTCTGAAAGATCAAAAGTCATCGGTGATACGAGACTTCGTTTGTAGGGGTTTTCACTGATCATCACATAGACATCTGTGACAATTTTTTTTTATCATATTCCTGCCGAGTGTCCTAACAGGAATCCAACCCAGATCTCTAGCACAGTAATCAACGAGGCTCCATAAGCTGAGTGACCGGGACTATATTTATAATTATGTACAAGTCATACTGATCTGTCCAATGAGTGACAGAGACTGGATTTATAATTATGTACAAGTCATACTGATCTGTCCAATGAGTGACAGAGACTGGATTTATAATTATGTACAAATCATACTGATCTGGCCAATGAGTGACAGGGACTATATTTATAATTATGTACAAGTCATACTGATCTGTCCAATGAGTGACAGAGACTGGATTTATAATTATTTACAAGTCATACTGATCTGGCCAATGAGTGACAGGGACTATATATATAATTATGTACAAGTCATACTGATCTGTCCAATGAGTGACAGAAACTGGATTTAACACTATTATAATACAAACCACACACATTGCTTCTTTTACACTGCTTCACCATTTTCTGTTAAGGTGTAGATATATTTCTTTAAAGGACATAGGGCACAGTTTTGAACTTTTTCTACAACACAAATTAAATATTTCTTGAAGTTGTTGAAAAAGCAAAGCAGGTACTTTTGGACTTTCTGGTGTACCCTATTACCTATTTTCAGGCTTTCAAAATAGCCACTGCTGCTCTGCCAAAATTTTAATGAGCACAATGACATCACTTGTGACCTGGATGAGAGAATCTTACATTTTTAATGTATCTTTCAACATGGACACATGAGTGAAATTTGCCAACATTCATCTGCGAGAGAATACCCTGTAATATTAGGAAATCAGAGCATGGATCACAAAGTTCATCCATATAATTTGACAACACTAAACCAATTGGTGCAAAGACCAGATTTGTAAGTCCTTTAAGATAAGATTTTCCTTATGAACAACTTAGGGATATCAGCAAACATAGAATTAGAGGATTTGAGTGTAACATTATCACCTTATGGCATAGTGCCATCCATTTCTTCCCCACAGGTGAATTTGATACCTTTGGAATCTGCAGTATTGAAATGTGCAATCAAATCCTTCTCTAACCCTTTCTTGACTATTTCTAATATGTTATCAACATTTGGTTTCCATAGACAAGGATTGTGTTCTACAGGGGCTGTAGGGCCTATATCCTCTTTTTCTAAGTGCTTTATGAATCAGAAGCCCAAAATTGGAGAAACTTGGCTTCCCATGGCCGTGCCAAACTGTGGTAACGAATGTTATCTTACAAAGTGAAGTATGTTGTTGTAAACACAAATTCTTGTAAATTTATGATGTCTTGGATATGGCGATTGGGGCTGTTTTACCACCACCGGTTTTGTTCTAGGCAGCTTAGAATGATAACCAGTGCTTTGTTAGTCGGTACCTTTGTGAGATGAAGCACTACATTGTGTAAAATGAATTCCTATTATTTTGGTTTAGTATCAAGGATATCCTTTCTGCAAAGTCTTTCCAAGTTTTTGACATGACATTTTGATTTTACCACTAGGGGTCCTAGAATGTCTGCTAGTGGTCTGGAGACATTGTAACCAATGGGACCAGTAAAGTCCAAACTGGACCATAATGAGATCCCTTCTATGTGGATCTTGGGTGTGCAGTACATTCTAATTATATGATTGTTTTCTGTAGTAGGATATATTGTGTCATTTAGTCATTTGTCTGATAAAGGTGACCTTGTAGTCATCAAAACATCACACTCAAATCTTCTACTGGTTGTGTAAGAAGAACATTTATTCTGTGAACTAGTATAGAAATCCATTAAATGGTATTGTAAGTCATTATCACAACAGGTATCATAGTGTGTCTAAAACAGGTCCATATAACTCAAAAAGATCATAACTACTTTGTCCACAGACAAATACATTTTTGAAAAATTGAAATTAAAGGGTAAAGTTTTCCTTGAAAATATTTCTTCTTTAGTTGAGGTAAGCTTACTTGTGTATTTCAGGTTTCTGAAGGTGACCCCTTCCTTGACTGCAGATGAATCCTTGTTACAAGAAGTTCTGAAGTTCATTTGCATAGCTCTTAAACTGACCAATGGTGTGCCAGATAACACTCTGCAATGGCTAGGGGAGATGTTGTACCAACCATCAGGTACTCTGATTGGTTTACTACACAGAGCATCAGTGAAGGGTGAAGCAAGGGATGTTCCAGAAAATGTGAATATTAAAAGGTGAGGTGGATTTTTGCTTTTTTAGCAAGGAAAGGATTTGACAATACATTAACAGTAAATTTTTTATAGGAAAGTAAATATATTTTAAGCCATAGACTAATTGCATGTGCATGATTCACAATTTCAACCAAAGCACGATTTTAGAATACCGGGTATCTTCATTGTTGCCAGGTACATATTTTTCCAGTATTTATGACATCTTTAGTAATAAAGCTTGTATTTTACAGGACGCTGGACAAGGAGTTACTGTCTTTTATAGCGACATATAACAGTAAACTACCATACCTGTTGTGTAGAAGGTAGGTCATATTATAATATACTTAACCTCACAGTAAGACTGTTTGAAGTCTGTCTTTTAAGAAATTACGCAAAAAAAAACCAACAAAAAAAAAGGAAAGCCCATTGAACCCACAAATCTGAATATATTTTGTGTATATATGTAGTTTGTCGTCTGTTATCCAGACTGAAAATACAACAGTTGAGAGGGGACCTTTCTCACCAGCTGATCCAGCGACTCAATGTAACGGACGCCCCTCACTTCTACAATCTTGCCTCCCTTGAGGGAACTCTCCAATGTTTGATGCACATTACAGCAAGGTAGGCTGGGTTCATGTAATGATTCATTTCCCATAAATATATATAAGGAACTTTTTACCAATTCAGAATGTCCAAGAATCATATTCTCAAATGTCATGTTTCTTATACGCTAAGGAAATTTTAGGAAACTTGAGACAAAGTCTTGCTTAAAGTATACAAATTGCTGTCTTATTTTTATCCTGTGTAGACATACTGTTTTCAACCTCTTAGCAAATCTTACACAGATAACAGTAAAATAGCATAAGAAGCTTGTGCATGGCAGAAGGCAAATAAAATCTTAAATTATGTGGGGTAAATTGGACATTTCCTTAATGAATAATGATAATGGCTTTGATTATTCCCAAATAATTTGTTTTCATCTCTAAATCTACAAGATAGGAAAAAAGTTTACAAAGGTTTACCAAACCGGAGCCTAGAGTCATGTGTTAATGCAGTCACAGTGTGTTGTCCTTAAACAAAGTATCCATGGAAATTCCACATCCTCTTACCTGTGTTTCAGACCAGGCTGGAGCCATGAGAGTACAGAACTAGACAGTGGGGCACTCTGTTCTCAGGTCCTCCATTGTTTACTGGAGGTAGGTATAACCTCAGTTCTGTTATCAGATCCTCAACTATTTACTTCAATAAGGTATGATCTCAACACTGTTCTCAGGTCCTCTACTGTTTATTGGAGGTCGCCATCACCTCAACACTGTTCTCAGGTCCTCTACTGTTTATTGGAGGTCACTATCACCTCAACACTGTTCTCAGGTCCTCTACTGTTTATTGGAGGTCGCCATCACCTCAACACTGTTCTCAGGTCCTCTACTGTTTATTGGAGGTCGCTATCACCTCAACACTGTTCTCAGGTCCTCTACTGTTTATTGGAGGTCGCTATCACCTCAACACTGTTCTCAGGTCCTCTACTGTTTATTGGAGGTCGCTATCACCTCAACACTGTTCTCAGGTCCTCTACTGTTTATTGGAGGTCGCTATCACCTCAACACTGTTCTCAGGTCCTCTACTGTTTATTGGAGGTCGCTCAACACTGTTCAGGTCCTCAATTGGAGGTCACTGTTCTCAGGTCCTCCTCTACTGTTTATTGGAGGTCGCTATCACCTCAACACTGTTCTCAGGTCCTCTACTGTTTATTGGAGGTCGCCATCACCTCAACACTGTTCTCAGGTCCTCTACTGTTTATTGGAGGTCGCCATCACCTCAACACTGTTCTCAGGTCCTCTACTGTTTATTGGAGGTCGCTATCACCTCAACACTGTTCTCAGGTCCTCTACTGTTTATTGGAGGTCGCTATCACCTCAACACTGTTCTCAGGTCCTCTACTGTTTATTGGAGGTCACTATCACCTCAACACTGTTCTCAGGTCCTCTACTGTTTACTTGAGGTAGGTATAAAAAGTTGTGTCATTCTTGACCAAAGATGGATTTTCACAAGTATTTATCTTTGACCCTTTATTAGGGCCTCACATTTGCATGACCCTTCAGTAATCAGGATTTCTTTTTTTAGAAAGAATTTAGTTGTGGTTTTTTGTAATACATTGTTTTGTAGTGAAAAGAAATAATAAATTTTGTTATATAGTAATCACATGAAGAGATGATAGTTTTTGCTGATTAATAACCTCCAGTCAAATTTAGAATTTCATGTTCAGTGAATGTTCTTGGCAGGTGGTGTCTGCCTTTCACATTGGACGTGGAGGGACATCAATGTCTTACATGGGAAAGGGTGTCACCAAGTCTGCCACACTCTGTCTGCGACACCTTGCACATGAGATGGCCTCATACTCTGATGACAAGGTGAGTTACATCATTCCTCCGTTAGAAAATTATGATAATTGAATGATAATCGAAAGATGTTAATTTGATTCTATTTCTATATCTCACCATTTTATGGGTGGGGAGAGGGGACATATGGTGATGGTTTATACCTAATCTCATCAAATTTACCCCAAAGTATCATAATATCAAGTTCTACTCCTAAACATATCCTTGTATGTATAGGTGTAAGAACACTCTTGTCTTACAGATATTTGGTAGTTTCATTTTATTTTTTAAGTCATATTCAAATACACAAATGTAAATATGATGACTATGTTGATTCTTGCCAAAATGCTGTTTGATAAATTGAGGTAATACAGGAAAGTAATTTCTTTTGAAGAACTGGGCTAGGCAGTGGTCCCACCTTCAGCAGAAATCTGATGTGTCCCACAGTCATGGAATGACAGGAGACTCAGGCCTGATTTGGATGTTAACACTGTGGGCATACAGAGACCCAGAGGTAAGACCTTGTGTTGTTTATTGATGAGTTTTCTGTTACAAACTGACGAATTATTACACATCACTGTTTCTTTACCTACTTTGTATCTATTATAGGTTAGAGCTGCTGGCCTAGGTATAGCTGTAGCATTGACATCTACAGAGCCAGGTCGTATTGTTATGACATCTCACTGTAAACATATCCCAGGAGGCATTTGGGGAGCAGCATTCAGCATTCTGCTGGATCAGGCGGAATGCAGCATGGTTCGCCAGCAGGCAGCATTGCTTTTAGTGAATATGACATCACAGACAATGCCCTGTGGCAGTGTGGAGCTGGAACAGAATGTGTGGCAGGGACCTATTGTTACAGATACAGAGTTTGAGGTAAACATACTTATTTGTATTTTTAAATCTGAAATCTTCTAAGATAAAAATAGACTCTTAAGTGAAACTTTTTAAGACAGCAAAAGTTTACATAACAAAATACCTGGATTCAAATATTTTAATTAAAAACCTGGTAACTTTATGCACTGTCCATCTATCTAGAAAAGTCAGTAATATTTAATCTGTTAACCTATAATAACCCCCTTGTCAGGAACACCTTGATTATTTAGAAATCTCAGCTGTAGATTTGAAGATCACAATGGGTCCAGAAGTATTTTTCATTCCTTGGTTTTTTCACTCTAAGGTGTCTCTGGTTGGCCTGACTGCTCTGTTGGCACTGATTCACCACAGCCAGTTCTACCAGGAGATGCTTGTTCTGTTGTGTAACTTCTATGCCCAGCCCACCATCCAGCCAGTCAGTGTCCTTGAGGTGCCGGTCAGTCATCTGTCCTCAACAGAGTCAGAGTCAACCCTGTCTACTGTAGGTAGGTAAAGTATTAGAGGTCAAGACTCCTTATTATACAGTGTCAGACACAGCACTGTAGACTGTACGTAGGTTCTATATTAGAAGTCAAGGCACCCATCGTACATACCTTCAGAATTAAGGTTATTTTATCCTCCGAGATAGAATTAGGTTTGTTAGACAAGTATGTGCTCATGTGCATGAATTATGTTTTTTCACCTTAAATCGTAGCAGGTAACCATACAACCTTGTTTTACTTTACAGCAGATTTTGGGACAGATGGGCTTCAGAGTACTTCAGGAAGTAACCAGGTAAATATGTTGTTACTTGGGCAGCTGAAACAATCAAATCAAGGAAATTATTGTGTACTTTTCACATTTTGTTCTCATATAAAGGTTTCATGAAGTGACTAAAATCTTGGTCGTAACTATTTATAGGATCCCAATGTGATCAATTTTTATCTCGGGAATAATGTCTGTTGTGTTTACAGCCAAGGTCCAGGGGGAGGGGACATATTCACCACACATCTAACTCCAGCGGCAGCAAGACACGCCATTCTACCACTGGTCAGTACTTGTTAGCTGCATGTAATACAGTTAAAGACATGTTGGTCAGTGGCCTCAGATCCACTTCTCATTTACTTGTTAGGCATGTACAGATCTGGTGATTATCTGGAATTTAACTTAAGTTTCGAATTATTTTTATCTATAATAGATCATTGACTTAATGTTTGTTACTATAATATTGTATGTAGACGTGAATCATTGACACATATTGTGTTGTTTAGACCTGAATCATTTACACATACTGTGTTGTTTAGACCTGAATCATTTACACATACTGTGTTGTTTAGACCTGAATCATTTACACATACTGTGTTGTTTAGACCTGAATCATTTACACATACTGCGTTCTGTAGAATTGTAGACCTAAATGATTAACACAGACTTTGTTGTGTAGACCCTACTGGGAACAGCTCCAGCAGTACTCTGACAGGAGAACAGTTGGAGTACCAGAGTATTGCCACGCCTTCCCTGGTGTCATCTGTGTGTCAGTTCCTTCGTAACCTGGTGATTCTGGCACCACAGGATACATTCACCTGTCTGAAAAAGGATTCCTATGTACAGGTCCTCACCAAGTAAGCTCTCCTATGTACAGTTCCTCACCAAGTAAGCTCTCCTATGTACAGGTCCTCACCAAGTAAGCTCTCCTATGTACAGTTCATCACCAAGTAAGCACTCCTATGTGCAGGTCCTTACAAAGTAAGCTCACCTGTGTACAGATCCCCACTAAGTAAGCTCTCATGTGTGCAGGTCCTTACAAAGTAAGCTCTCCTGTGTACATATCCCCACTAAGTAAGCTCTCCTGTGCTCAAGTTAATTACATTTGATATGTAAATATCAACAGTTACACCTTACTGTGCTTCACATCAGAAGCCCCATGAAGATGATTTTCATTTGTTTTAGGCAACAGATGAACGAATCATGGTAATGATGTAGATATGGCTGTTATTAACACTAGTATGATCATTTGTCATTGTTCTCTCTCTTTCCAGTCTGGTGGACACCAACTTATTAGATGCATACATGACAGAGATGGGGGAAGGGTGTTCTGATCAGTTAGAGTTAGTCTTCTGTGACTTACTACACATGTATGCTTCTATCTTGGATCTGTTACGAGCTTGTGTGGTGTATGACACCCCTATCAGACAGGAAGTGTTAGCTAATGAGGATTTCATCAGGTCAACAGCAGCTCTTCTTACCATCAGATTTCAGGGTGTGTATACAGCTATCCTCTATTGATGTTGAAATGGTTTCAATTAGTCAATGAAATTTCTAATGTTTTAATCCAGATTGGTCCTTAATTTCCATGCTGAAAATATTCTGGATTTTTGTTTTCTCACTATGATACGCTAAATCAATGTTATTTATATTACGTATTTGAAGGAAGGTATTTTTACTATATACATGTATATGTTTTGTTTCCAGGCTCTGCTGATGTAGAGGGAAGTTGTCAAGTACTCTGGAGTTCTGTCCTATCCTTCCTTACTGTCCTTCTTCAGCTACAGGGAGCCTCTGCCCTTCATAGCTTCACTATGGCTGCCCACACTCTCTGGACCTCCACTGCAGGTACTATCTTATTACCAGGAGGAACCTAATGTTTAATATTAAGCTCTCAGGAATGAAATCTTATGATGAAAGACACTTAATGTTTAACTGTTTGTACTGTCGATCACTTGGTGAAATTAAAAGCTTGCATATCTGCAAAATTCTACAATTTTATGCTCAATAACATTTCCGTTCTTTTTGTTTTTATTATAGAAACACTGTGCTCTGTGTTGGAGAAAAGATTGCACCTCAACAAAAAGCTTTTTGACAACTGTTTACGGTTTTTATCCATACTCTTCAGTGAAGAGGGCAAACTTGTTGGGAGACAGCCCCAGTTAGCAGAGGATACCATCACAATTACTGGCCTTCTTAATACTCCTCTAAAATCAGGTTTGTGGTGTTACAAATCTACATAGACTGATACACTTCAAAATAAGTATGTGAATTGGCATTAATTTTTTTCCTGAGAAAAACTGTGTAATAGAGAATGGGAAGCTATCATTGGATTAATTTTTTCCAGAGCTCTTTACTAGATTTATTGTCAGCAGCTGAACTTCAACTTTCGAGGATTACCGGTGGATGGCATTAATTCATACAGATTTAGATTATGAAGTCACAAACTCAGTTCAGAGGAAACCAAAACATCTTATATTTGATTACGGACTATTTTGTAAATCTTCTGATAATATTGTTTCTAAACAGTGGGTGTTGCCTGAAATTTTCATAATTTCATGAAGATGATGATTTTATTTGCAGACACAAAAGAACAAGACCAAGGGGAGGTAACTACAGGGAGCCAACTATGTAAGGTCTTAGTCAATGTGTATGAACACTCATGTCTCAAGTCAACTGACTACAAGGAGGCTGACCGTGTCCATGCTGCCACTGCTTTGCGCACACTGCTGGCTATATCCAGCTCGGCCAAAGCCAAAGCTCTGCAATGTAAGTCTGAAATAATCCTCTCATGATTACCACAAAGTTGAGCTACAAATATTGCCTTTTTCTTTAGGTTAATACAAATATTTGATGCCATTATCATTTATAATACATATTAGTTTCTATAAAATTGTATCAAAGGATGAAACAACAATTATAGTGTGGTATTACTCAGTTGTCACATAGGATCACTTTATTATGTATGTAGTTTCATTAAGTCAGATTGATATTCCTAATGTTGTTTATTCCTGATGATTGTTATCCAGTGGGCCTGGTAGAGAGTGTCATTGATCATGTCAAACAGACTCACAACAAACTGAACATGGAGTCACTCCAGCCCGGTAAACCAAACACCAAGAAGAAAGAAGATCCACTCATGTCTGATCTCGTCCTCACATTTGACCTTCTGCGCAACTTCATCTTCCAAAATCTGGAGGCTAAGGTTGGTGTGTAGTTTACACATTTTGAAAGGCATTATGCCTTAGTTGAAGATTTATAACAAAGAGTTGTTTTTGCCATTTTCTAATCTGCTTGTTTTATCCCCAAGATTTGATATCTGTACAAGTGCTTAAATATAAAACTACTTGTGATACAGAGAATATATTGAAGTTTTAATTGTTTAAAAAATGGTTTATAACACAGCAATAATGTGTGCATTTAATCTTTTCATCTTAAATAAAAATGTATGTCACTGGTGGTGTGACTTTTGAAAAAAGCAGGGTAGCTGTACTCTTGCACCTTCACTGTAATCTTTATTTGTAATACAGTAAAATAGATTGTATGTTTTATTATATAATGCAATAATGAAGTGATCTTATTTTGTCTTATGTAGATGGCCTGTTACTACTCTGGTCTGCATAACATCCTACACCGGCTGTGGGCTTGGTGTCAATTAGATATGGCAGTCATGTCATCTGCTCTCTCCCTTCTCACCACCTACATAGCTCACTGTCCTACAGGTAAGTCAGTTCTCACTTACTCAACAGCTCACTGTCCTACAGGTAAGTCAGTTCTCACTAACTCAAAAGCTCACTGTCGTACACGTAAGTCAGTTATCACCAACTCAATAGCTCAATGTTCTACCTGTAAGTCAATTCTCACCACCTGCATAGCTCACTGTCCTACAGGTAAGTCAATTCTCACTAACTCAATAGCTCAATGTTCTACATGTAAGTCAATTCTCACCACCTACATAGCTCACTGTCCTACATGTAAGTCAATTCTCACCACCTACATAGCTCAGTGTTCTACATGTAAGTCAATTTTCACCACCTACATAGCTCACTGTCCTACAGGTAAATCACTCCTACAGAAGTTACTTCTCACCACATACATAGCTCACCGTCATTGAATATTGTAATGGAATATATTATGTACATTTTAACATAACAGGGCAAGAGGATTCCTGAACTTCTGTTATTGATCAACTTCTATTGCTATAATGAATTTAAGGATGCACAATGATTCTGAAATTTTATGTTACAGCCACAAGTTCCCTGGCATACACTACAACTGCTACCTCAACTGGAGGTCAAAAAACACAGCAACTTAGTAACAACTCCCTTGTTCACTGCCTCATACGCTTGACCGGGAGGGATGGTATAAAGGATTCCGTCCTCCGCACACTTTTCTCCCTCCTTGCCACTCTGACACTATCCTCAGAGGGCAGGAACATTGTGTTTAAGGTATGTATTGTATAATGTGTGTTACAGAAGATTTTGTTTATAGTAATCTCATTAATGTTTCCCCTTCAGTTAAATGATGTTGTATTCAATAATCATTTGTATTTCTAACATGACCCTGTTCAAGCCATGACTTTCAAATCAGCAAAAATGTCTTAATGAAATGCAAGCATTATTCCCCAGTTCTTCATTCTGTGGGATCACTGAAGAGGATGGAGAATAAGTTTTTCTCACAGTTACAAATCAAGTTTCTATAAATATTTTAGAAGTCTATTTCTATTTCTTAATCATTGATAAAAAGTTAATAGTTATTTTGTGTCTTAGCAAAACAATTCTAAATGGGATTACGGTTTTTAATTCACTAACAGAGTAACTTCTTGAGGGAATTCCTGAGTCTAAATCCTAGGAAAAGTAAAAAGACAAAACATACACAGAACATGGAGCTGTTTTGGCTGGAGCTGCTGGTCAATCTCTCTTTCTCTGTGGAAGGTCAACAGATGCTCCTAAAGACAGGAGGTAAGAATGGACAAAGTTGAAGTGTCGAGATAGCTCAGTTGTTAAAAGAGTTGGCCTACATTCAAGGTGCATGGTTCAATACTCCCTACCAGTAGTGGTTAGTGTTTTTCAGAAAACCGAGAAACGGACTGGTTTGTGCTTTTGTGGTTGTGACATTTGGCAAGGTACTTTAACCTTATTGCTCTAGATTGCATGTAATTGGCCTCCCATATATTGTTAAGTGAGGTAGCCACCAGCTAATACAAGGAGACCATGCCTCTAAGTGTCCCTGCCTCTTCACAGATTGATGAACCCAGCAAGCAAACAAATAGTTTTAGCTAAGCTGTCCCGAGTGAGCCAAGTCTTCTCTTCATAAGCTGCATATTGTACCTGGCTGTTGTAAAATGTAATGCTATGTATTATTGTTTTTGTGAATTTTTTAAAGGACACTCTTATATTTTAGACTGTGTGAACCTGCTGTTGGACTTTGTGGAGTATGGACAGGGGAAGGTCCAGGAGTGTGCCACTCTTATCCTCCGTAACATGTGTTGTCATAGCAGTAATAAACCCAAACTTCTCGCCTGTGGTTAGTATATATAAAAGATTAAAGTGCTGTTACTGATGATTACATTATTGTATTAGAAGATAAATTGATAACACTATCATTTGAAAAACTTATTTATCAATTTGTTAACAAATTGGTCCATTTATATGTTGACAAAACTGATAGATTTTTTGTAGACAAGAAAATTGATAGAACCAATGAATTTAGCTGCAGACAGACAAAACTAATGATATATTTATCTGCAGACAAACTGATAATTAATTTATCTGGTGACAGTCTGTTGATACATTGATACTGAGGATGGATATGTCAGTCAGACAAAACTAAAGATAGATAGATCTGTTGACAAACTGACTATAGATTTATCTGTCTGACAAAACAATCCTTGTTATATCTTTCAACAAACTGACAACAGAATTAAACTGATGATTGATTTATCTGTTGACAGACAAACTGCTGCCCCACCTGTTGGAGTGTCTGACCAGTGACAACACCCAAATCCAATGTGTGGCTGCGTCAGCTCTATGGGCACTGGTCTTTAACAACCAAAAGGTAAGAACCATTATGGTTGATGTTGTGTGACCAGGACAGGTAATCTGTGGATTAAGAAACACTGACAAGACCAAATCTTGCTGTTGAATAGCAGGCAGTCTACATAGGAATTTGAAAATGTCTTTTTTGTAGAATTTTTGCTTTGAAAATATTTGTTCTTTGATGTACAAGCAACTCACTGTTTTATCTTCAAGTTGGCTTTATATGATTTGCTAATGATTTTATCAGATTTAAAATTGCCTCCTTATACACTGGTATAAAACAACTTTTTCTTTTATTTAGGCCAAGGTGATGATGAAAAATGCAAATGTGATCCCTAAACTCCAGGAAGTAATGAACAACATCAACAATCACCACAGGCGAGACTTGTCAGACGGATGTCTTGAGAACCTACAGTCAGTGATAGCAGCTGTGGCTGAATAGTTACTACATCAACAACCACTACAGGCAAGACTTGTCAGACGGATGTCTGCTGTGGCAGATATAGACTTGTAGTCTTCTTACTTAGCCTTTGGAAAGTCAACAGTAAGCAGTAGCCATGTGTGACAGCAGTGGACTGGATCAGTCAGTTATAGACTAGTGTTAGGATGTTTATACCAGTGTTGTAGAATATTATCTGTCAACTCATTTAGATGGTGGTTAGTTAAGTGGTATATTTAGGAAAATGCTAAACATGTTTATTATCTTAAATCCTGTTAAAGATTGTTTACTGTGATAGATGAAGGTGTCTTGTAGTGTCTGATATTCTAGATATATTCAGTTTATCAGTGATAAGGACAGTATCCTTATATCTGGTAGAACAATGAAAAATTCACTCTCAGTTTAACATTCCGTCCAGAGAGAGTAATGTAACACAGATACAAGGTATGTTACTGATTGTATGTTAACATTCTGTGTTATTTGCTTGATATGTCTACTCAATGTTATTTATGAAAAATCATGAATTTGTATTGTATTGACAATAAATATATAACAATGATTATATATTGGATTTTCTCTGTAAGATATGCTGTACAATTATACAAATTATCACTAATACAAGTACGTGTACTGATGTACAACCTGTTATAACGTAGTGTGCTTAAGTAAATCCACCTCTGTGTTAGCATTCTGTTGTAGGTCATGTCTTTTTTTATTTATTGGACACGTAGATATACTTTGGTGATGCATATATAAACATCAACCATTCAGCCCCAAACCTTTTAATGACAAGAAAAACATTATTAAATAACATCATTTTAATTCTAATGTTAACCTTAAAAGAACAGTACAGTGAAAACACAGCCTGCTAGCACCATAGATAATAGTGTATGGTACTGACAGCTACCAACACATGATCAACAGCAGTGATAACCATCCATAACAAAATCCACAGCAAATATCTCAGTAAAAAATCCTGTGTTTAAGTGTAGCATTTATACACCCAGTTATAAATGTACTACAATGGAAACATTACGTGCAAACATTCTAATTTAAAACCACTTACAATTTAATGCAGAATGGATGGACAGTGATTAAAGAACGGCACTTATATTGGTGATGTGAAAAATAAAACCATAATTCTGTATAAAAATGCATCTCATTTTCAATCGGCAAGATACAAGAGATAATTTAACCGTATGAAAAAAGTGAGTAGGATACATTCTTTATATACCGCACATCACTACAGGGATGTTATTTTCAAAGCTACATCTGGAATAGCCATACACAGACTACAAACTTCAGATAGCAGCACATGAAATATACAGATGATGGACATTGATTAGGAATTCATGAAGATCTAGAATATTATTCCATGTCCTTTTATTAATAACTCTAACAATGGGTCTCTCAACACTGATGCCTGCTTCTTTGATTATGTACAAGGCACTTCATTACAGAGCAATTGGTTAGAAATATTAGGAAGCGAAAGTAAGGGAACACAAATCTTCTCTTTCAAAGCTTCACAGTTTAACATCTGTCCACTTCTGTCATAAGTCAATCTGATCTCCCTATTACGACTTGGATGAAAATGGGATTTAAAAATAATGTCATACTGAAGTTGTGAGAACTCAGATATATGGCTATAGAAAATTTGACAAGAAATAAAACTGTGAAAGATAAATGATATTGGAGAAATTTTGAAACAATTGTAAAAAGGTGTGACCAGATTGACTAGATACGACAAGCAAATGTCATCTCTGAGGAGGGAGGACATCTGTATATACATGTACAAGAAAACTGTACAAAGACTTGTCAACAAATATAAAATCTCAAATTAAAAACCATGGTACATACCCAATACAAAATACAAAAATGTCACTGGTTATTGTGAAAGTCTGAAATATTTCTGAAGTAGAGCTTCTTTAACAAGAAGTTCCAAACCTTCTCTGAACCAATTTTTTTGTCTTGATTGTTTCCAATAAGTTAGATTCATGGCTTTTTCCAGCAATTAATTATCACTGAACAGAATACAAGACTCTTTCATGTGTTGGGATGTATGATAGGGATATGTCAAGCGGCAGGTTTTATCACATTTTGTGATCCCGAGGGTGGAAATGAATGATCTTACATGGCTTGGCATGTAATGCTAACTTTGTTTCACATGTTTCTTAGAAACAATGTAAAACTTAATTTTTCTTTCCAATAAAGCAGGCAAATTTCAAGCTGAATAGGACGGTTTTTCACTGCCAAGACAATCATGTATAACTTAATTGGTTAATGACATCAAGATAGTGTTATTGCATGTGTATTATGATAAAATGATGTGAGTTAATTACATAAAGAACAAATCAAGCATGTGATAAATCTGGTACAGCTTAATTTATAACTGGATACATCAATAAAAGATTTACTATTAGTACTTCCATGTACATGTATATCTATATTTTTTTAAAAAAATTAATAAAACAACCAGATATATGTGTATAACAATGTCACATATTAGACTTAATTAAGGCAACACACTTATTGAGGATCCAGTTGTAACATAACTTATACCTAGATAGTAGAGTTAATGGCAGGAGAAGTCATGGGAACAGTTGCCAAAGGAAACTTTTGTAGAAGGCTTTTTGCAGAGTGAGGAGTTCAGTATTAGTTGTGGAACGGGCTATTAAGTGGAAGACAAGATTTCATAAAGTAAAACAGGATTAAGAGAGATGTTACCAAAATCTTCAACTGACATGCAGTACCAGCTGCATAATCAGAATACAATCTACCAGATACAAATGAAACTAATGCTGGGATCTGTAACTGATGTACAACAAAAAAGCATATCATGTACAAAGAGTAACAGCCATCTAACAAAACAATATCAACTACAAAAACATGCAACTCAATGGTCCTGGTCTGATTTTGGTCAATCTTTGAAATCTCATACAAAACACCTAAGATTGATAGTAAATATTCTGTCAAAGAAAACTAATACTCATCTTTATATTTTTGTAAAAACAACACACACAAAATCCAGCCCAACTAAGAGTTCAAAGGAATGCAAGCTGGGAACAGTAGAAACTTGTTTCTTACCAGTAGCAGTGTAATGCATACCCGAAATGATAACGACTCCAAATTGGATAAAAGATGAAGGTTTAAAAAGTCATTGTAACAAAATACATTCTAGGTATGTATGTAAACGTGAAGTATTTATTACAACTCTTCTGCAGAGAGAACTTATATCACCAACACATCTCAGACATATCTGTTAATCTGGAAAATAAAATTGTAGCCCTTCAAAATGTGAATCTCAATGAAAGAAATACACCAGTCTACTTTAGGAATGAGATTCAATATTTTGGTGCAAATAAGATAACATTTTCTTGTAAACACACAGTAAAAATAACAAACTAACACTAAAAACTGTCTTCCATAACATAAAGAGAACAGAGCATTATGGTAAAATATTACATTATTTTTGTATTTATAATCTATACTTGGGTTATTATGCCTACAAAATGTTTGTGATATCATAAGAAGTTGGTAGGTGTATTATTGACCAACTTGCCGTATACCTAGTTATTGGGCTCACCAACTACAGGTTTTCCCACCAGGAACTCTGGTAACCTTCCTTCATAAAATCCTCCAGCCTTTCTATCTGGGCAAAGAAGAGTGATTAATCAAAATCTTGAACAGATATGTAACATGTTTCTCAAAGGTCAAGATCACAAATGTGAAGTTTTTTGTTTAACAAGTAGTACATATTCAGTTATTGGTGTGTTTCTGTTAACATTGTTTTTATACCTGGGGATCCATCTATGTTTTTTGCTGCTATTTGTGTTCCTCATTCCACTTAAAAGTGGGATGTATTTCAAATCTTACAGAAAAATGAAGTAATGGAATGATGGTTGATACACTAGTTATTAAAATTCATTCCTCGTCTCTATCCATAACAAACAATAAAAATAAACTTTAAAAGTACCTGAATATCAGGTACACGACTGCATACCTCTTATTCATTGCACTGAAATGAAATTTAAAAACATGCAAATATTGCAGAGCAACTCCAGTTAAACATTTTGCTCTATTCTCAATAATAACACTCCAAATACCATGTGTATTCATCCAGTAACAATCTGATTGTCTCCTGCTCTTTTTATAAAACATAATATATCACAGCTTCATATACTGCTCTATCTAGCTACAAGTGCTACAAAAGTATACACCAGACTGTGATATTGATCTGATCAAAGATTAGAAGAATCCTGCATAGGCCTGTATGGGCTGATCACTTATGTCATATATCTTAAAAAAAAAAAAAATAAATGAAAAAAAAACATTCACAAATTGTTAATTGTGAAACCTATGCTTCATGCCATCTTCCAATATCTCATGAAATGTGTGTCGAATTGAGGATGTTACCAATTTGTGACATGGTAACACAACATTAAATGATGTCACTACCCTAAGGTGAATAGTGTTATAGCGTGTGTTAGCTGTCACTTCAGATTGATCTTTTCCCTACCAAAAACTGGAATGAAGCTGTGAAGCATGGGAGAAATGTGGATAAATTGTTGATGTTATCTATAGTACATACAAGTAATAACTTTCAGGAGTTGCCCTGTGATTTCATTAACTCAGAAATTTGTTAATGATAGTGAATATGAAAAGATGAAAAGATACAATTAAAACTGGTGCACTCTCAAAAATAATGATATATAAAATCAGTTTAAGGTTCTACTTCAGCTTAAACTCAATATTTACTGGAGCCATTTGATCTTTTGATGATTTTTCAATATTTCAAAATGTGATGAAACTGATGTTCATGAAAAAAGATGGCAAACTCTTTATATATATATATATATATATGATGAAACTGATGTTCATGAAAAAAGATGGCAAACTCTTTATATATATATATTTATATATATAAGATGGCAAACTCCTAATACATGAAAAAAGATGGCAAACTCCTAATATAAAACTGTTCTACAAACAGTTTTCATGAAAGATGGTAGTGGCCATTGCTTGCCTACAGTTCTTTATTCATTACATACGTTCCACAGATACAGGGTCCTTGGTGATAGATGGTAGTGGCCATCACTTGGCCACAATTCTTTATTCCTTAGATATGTCTCGTAGACACACATAATCCTTGATAATGGATGGCAGTTATCGTTACTTGGCCACAGTTCTTTATTCCTTAGATATGTCTCGTAGACACACATAATCCTTGATAATGGATGGCAGTTATCGTTACTTGGCCACAGTTCTTTATTCCTTAGATATGTCTCGTAGACACACATAGTCCTTGATGATGGATGGCAGTTATCGTTACTTGGCCACAGTTCTTTATTCCTTAGATAGTCCTTGATGATGGATGGCAGTTATCGTTACTTGGCCACAGTTCTTTATTCCTTAGATATGTCTCGTAGACACACATAGTCCTTGATAATGGACGGCAGTGGCAAACCTTTGGATAAGCATAGTACCTTATTTCCTAGACAACGCCGTAAGCGAATACGACACAAGGATTTGAGAGACTGAGGTTTCTTGTGATACTCTTCAAGCCACTGAGCAGCTTTTGGATTGCAGACATACTTGGGATGAAGCTTAGGTACAGTCAGTACCCCAGGGATGGTCTGTATCCCTGACATGAACAGCATCTCCAGCAGGTATTTGTCGTTGCTGTAGAGGAAGAACAAAGCATTATACCAACTATAGTAATATCACTACCATATTATGAAAACTTATTCATATTCCCAATAAGTTTATGATCTGTTTTATGATTTTATGTCCCAAAACATTCATGTTCTTTTCTTATATTTACAGAATTACTACCAGATGTAATGTTCAAAACAAGAGGCCTAGCAGCCTCAACAGTCAATTGAGGTAAGCAATATTGATTATAAAGGTTAAAATGAAAGTAGCTTTCAAGTGTCATGAAAAATAATTGTGACATTGATGATGGTAAGCCAGGGTCAATATATGCATACTACTAGGGGGGGAAAGACATTATGCTCAAAAATGCAATTTTTCCATAAAAAATTACAGTAAAATTAACCTCCTCCCCAGGAAGAAATTTGAGATCCTTTCATTCATGCATTTCATTCTACCATTCCTGGGTGATGAGAAGATTTCAAATTGAAATTAAACAAATTACGCTCAAAAACCTATTTTGCTTAAATAAACTATAGTAAACTTTACCCCCTCTCCATGGGTTAATGTGGGACCCTGGGGCCTTGGAATTCACAATTTTGGTAAAGCACCTTAAGATGCTTCCATACATAAAGAAGAGTATTAAATTTTACCATATTTTGAAATTTTTGAAATCTGAGGCAATCTAACCACTTTTGGCCCTGCCCCTTAGACCCCTGTGGGGTGGGGACTGTATAATTCCCAATTTCAGTTCATCTCAGGCCATGGAAGGTTTCTGCAAAATTTCTTTGAAATCTGTTCAGGGGCTTTTTCAGAAGAAGTTGAAAATGTTTAATTGTCTACGGACGCACGGCACACCACCAGGTGACCTGAAAAGGTCAACAACAGTTATTTCCTCTCTTATAAGATTTTATTTTCCTAAGGCGGTGTTGGGAGGAAGGATGATATAGTGGATATCTCTTATTGATGGGAGAGAATGGACAGGTATACAATGGTTATTTGTGTACAGTAACTGTTAAATACAGTAAAAGTCAAATAAGAAATACTGTACCTTACTACCATACAGTACAGTAGGTGTAATATACGCACCAGAACATTTCTGTAACTCCAGGGTAGTGTAACAGAACAAGCTTGGCACAGCCTCTAAGTAAAACCTCTACTGTCTCGCGATGTCCCTTCTCAAACACTGCTGCTATTATCTTTAAACTATAAAATCAAACACTCATTATGTAAAACAATATTTTCAATTCAACTAGTTGGACCAGAACAGAATATCATGTTTCTTGATAAACACATCTTCGATTCAGGTGATGAGCTTAAAATCAGATATGATTTTGAATCTTTAAATATTCTATTTCAATGTACCTGTTACTCCCATGAGGTTTACACAAAATGTCCTCTCCTCTACATAAGAAGTACTCCACAACATCTGCATGGTTCATTTCCATGGCCACTTGTAGAGCTGTTTGGCCATGTTGCATTCTCAGTCTCATATCTGCACCACCTGTCATCACAAACAGACAATGTACATCTCTGCCCAGCCATCATTGATGGTGGTTTCATATGTGATGAAAAAAAGCTAAATTAAACATATTTTACAAGTGCTTCAATAATTAATCATTCCTAAAGATAGCTAAAATATTTGTGTTTTCTAAAAATTTTCAAAAATAAATAATAAATTCAGTCTATTATTTCTTAAACTAATTTTAAGATAATTTTCAACCTATTTAAACCAAGATTTTTCAGGAAAAGTTTGATAAGGCAAATTTTTGGTCGCTGAACACTCTTCACCTGCGTTGTCATTGTTTATTTTTTTGTTTCAGAAAAAATGTAATTAATAAAAACAATGTTAAATCATCTGACACTAAAATCATGTACATGGTTAAATACACAATTAAAATGGAAAAATGGTTAGGCTTGATAAAACATGTTATATTTTATACATGGGTGGTCGTGAACAAAACGAGATACCATTGTACTATACAGTGGAGGTCTCCTGAGTCATGTGTGACTGACACCTGCTGGTTATGCAGCCTCAGTCACTGGAAATCAAACAAAACACCACTGCGTCATCACACAGCCTCATCATATGTTATTTATACCTAACCCAAACAAACTAACCTTACATAAACCCTGGCTATCCTTTCATGTAACCCAAAAAAGACTATCCTTACATGTCCCCCTTCTCCCAATAGTTTATCCTTATATTTACCCAAACAGTCTATCCTTACATGTGCCAGCAACAGACTAATCTTACATGTACCACCAACAGTCTAACCTTACATGTACCCAAACTGTCTGTCTAACCTTGCATGTACCACCAACAGTCTAACCTTACATGTACCATCAACTGTCTAACCTTACATGTACCCAAACAGTCTAACCTTACATGTACCACCAACAGTCTAAACTTAAATGTACCACCAACAGTCTAACCTTACATGTACCACCAACTGTCTAACCTTACATGTACCACCAACAGTCTAACCTTACATGTACCACCAACAGTCTAACCTTACATGTACCCAAACTGTCTAACCTTACATGTACCACCAACAGTCTAACCTTACATGTACCACCAACAGTCTAACCTTACATGTACCACCAACAGTCTAACCTTACATGTACCCAAACTGTCTAACCTTAAATGTACCACCAACAGTCTAACCTTACATGTACCACCAACTGTCTAACCTTAAATGTACCACCAACAGTCTAACCTTACATGTACCACCAACAGTCTATCCTTACATGTACCACCGACAGTCTAACCTTACATGTACCACCGACAGTCTAACCTTACATGTACCACCAACAGTCTATCCTTACATGTACCATCAACAGTCTAACCTTAAATGTACCACCGACAGTCTAACCTTACATGTACCACCAACAGTCTAACCTTACATGTACCCAAACAGTCTAACCTTACATGTACCACCAACAGTCTAACCTTACATGTACCCAAACAGTCTAACCTTACATGTACCATCAACAGTCTATCCTTACATGTACCATCAACAGTCTAACCTTAAATGTACCACTGACAGTCTAACCTTACATGTACCACCAACAGTCTATCCTTACATGTACCTCAGCAAGCTAACCTTGTATGCAAGTTTAAGGACTAGGCTTTCAGGGTAATAATCTGGAATTTGTCTGTAATTCTTCTAAAATTAGCATTTTTACCAGAAATGGGTTTATTATTTGATAAATAGGATATCATCAAAGGAAAGATCCTTTCTCAATTATCATCGTTGAATTCTCTCCCATATGTCCATGTTATCTTGGTTTTCTGATAAATACTGTTAGAACTTTTTTTCCAGAAATGAATTATATAGATTAACAATTCAAGCCATGAATTTAACATGTATTACAACCACCTGTATGGAGAGTCTTACCAAGGATGAGGAGGATGACACAGTTCAGGTGACCATACATGGATGCAATATGGAGTGGACTGACCCCATACATATCTGTCTTATTAACGTCACATCCTTCATTCACAAGGAACTCCACAATGTCTGTGTGACCTACAAATATAACAGATCTATTGAGTCCAACCTTAGTCTTGAACTGACTTCCTATAACTATAATTTACTGTAAAATGTTGTGACAACTCTTAAGAAAAGAGCAATAACTGTGTAGTATGACATAATTACAATTTAACATAATGCTTCACAAATGGTTCATCTATTCATGCTAGATGAATACTCTGCCAAAAAAGTCAAGAGAGACTGTTATGAAAAAAAAATATATTAACATTCAACAATCAGTTTTTTTATTTATAATAACAGTGACCTTGACCTTAGAACTTGCAATATAAAAAGCAATATCCCAAGGAAGCACTTTTGGTAAGGAAGCATTGTATGAAGTTTCATTTAGATTGGGAAAAGCAATCTTGAGTTATTCCTCAAAATGGATTTTCCATTATTGCAATATTAATCTCAACCTTTGACTTCTAAGTCTGAAAAGTAATCCCTAGCAAGCACTGTCAGTGAGAAACCATTGTATGAAGATTGAGTTTGATTGGCCAAAGGGAGCCAAAGTTATATCATGGAAACCAATATCTTACTTATAGTAACAGTAATCTGGACCATTGAACTTGGGACCTGAAAAGCACTCCAACTTTCAGTAAGGAAGTACTGTATGAAGTTTGGGTTAGATTAGCCAAAGCAAACTCTAGTTTTCACATGGAAACAGATTTCCTATCTCAGTAACATTAACCTTGACCTTTGACAATGAACAGCAATCTCATGCAAGCATTTTTAATAAGGAATCACTGTATGAAGTTTGAGCTTGATTGGCCCAAAGAAACTCACGTTATCACATGGAAACAAAAAGTGCTGACAGACAGACGGATGGACGGACAGACGGGCGGACACCATGATTTCTAAAGGACACCTGTATTTTAGTAAATATGGACAATTAAACCTTGTCCCTTTTTCTATACATAGCACTGATGCTATTCCTTAAAGCATGAAATCTAGGGCCCCTTTCCTGAACACAGATTTTAGTCATACCTCTAAATGTGGCCTCATACAGAGGGGTGACACCATATTTTATGGTGATGTTCTTCTCACAGCCTGCATTTATTAGCATCTGTAAATCAACCAATATCAAGGTTTACATAAACAATTTAAGGTCACAGCAGAATCATGTCCTTACCAATTCTCATTCATTCTTATTTTTGACAAAATGTGCCTTTTAAATGTGTCTTTATGGTATAAAATGTGAATGTTAATGTCTCATCACAGTTCAAAAGTTCATACCAAATACTGTAGTGCTTGTATGCTTAGTAATTTCTACAAGCAATTTTAATTATAATATTCAGTAAGCTTTTCATGTACACATGAATGGAAGCAATGCTAACATCTTACATGCTAGAAATCTTCTTTGTAAGATTTACATCTATAAGTTATACAGGTAAATATGTCAATAATACCATACATTGTACCTGTACAACTGATAATAGTTTGAGTCTTGCCGCCAGGAAGAGTGGGGCATGGTCCTGGCTACCAAGATTCACATCAGAGCCTGCCTGAATAAGTCGCTGAACCATCAGTGGATTGCGAGCCTTGATGGCTGCGTAAAGTGGTGTGATGTTGATGTTGTCTGTGAGTTGTACATCAGCACCACAGTCCAACAGGAAGTCCACCACATCCATGTTACCATGCTCCACAGCCACCAGGAGAGGTGTTTGTCTAACATGTTGATTAGTCTGGTTGATGTAAGCACCAGACTCCAGGAGAAGGCTACAGACATCTACATGACCTGCTCGAGCAGCACATATCAGGGGAGTGTCCCCATTATCATTTAGTGTCTCTAACACAGAAACATAGTTCAGGCGATCACTTAGTCTTTGCTTCCCCTTGTTGTTCTCTTCCTAAAAATAAAACCAATCTACAGTCGGGTGACACATCAAATAAAGAAATCTAAATTTGCAAACAATTTGAATTGGGTGAATGAGGTGGAGGAATAGTCACTTGATTCTGCAATTATCAAGTTATTTTATTTTCCAAACTTTCTACTTTGAAAGGAAAATGGCGATTTATTTGAGCAAGTTTGGTGACATTTACATCCATCATATGTGTTAAAACTGTAGTTATCATAGATTTTTAAGAAAACATACAAGGAAAATAACATGGTACACTGGATAGTGGATACCCACTACCAATGGAGGCAAACTTTTGTTCCAGATGAGCTTGTAACTTAACGTACATGCAGGCTAACTTTATAATGGTGTAACATTGCAATAATTGTGTACCATTGCCATCAATTTTAAACATAAGGTGACTTAATAATTTGAAACATATACATTGTATAAATTTCCTCTAATAACCTATTTTTAGAACACAAAACATCCAGGATATTCTCATAAACACATAGAAGTGTTGGCATGGAATATTGCCAGGACTATTTTAGATTTCAAGATGTTAAGAGAGGGTACAATAATGCAGGAGAAATGATCATCAAATACACCTTCAAACAACCTGCACATGCATCCAGTGGGAATGTTACAAGACTTCAAGCAAAGCTGAGTCACTCTTGCAACTCTTACAAGAAAACTTACTTCATCCAAAAGAAGCTGCAGCTATTGCCTACAGCAACTTGGAAAAACATATTTCACGAAATTCCTCATATCTTTATCTTATGAATAAACAGTTATGAAATCTGATTTTCATAAATGCAATATTTCAATCAGAAATGGTTTTTATTACTGTTGTATGATTATACACATAGCAGTCAACCCTGATATATGTAATGACAGGGTGCTGAGTAGGAAGATTACTGTAATATGATTATATATATATATATATAGCAGTCAGCCCTGTATATATGTAATGACAGGGTGTTGAATAGGAAGATTACTGTAATATGATTATATATATATATATATATAGCAGTCAGCCCTGTATATATGTAATGACAGGGTGTTGAATAGGAAGATTACTGTAATATGATTATATATATATATATATATAGCAGTCAGCCCTGTATATATGTAATGACAGGGTGTTGAATAGGAAGATTACTGTAATATGATTATATATATATATATATATAGCAGTCAACCCTGATATATGTAATGACAGGGTGCTGAGTAGGAAGATTACTGTAATATGATTATATATATATATATAGCAGTCAGCCCTGTATATATGTAATGACAGGGTGTTGAATAGGAAGATTACTGTAGTATGACTATATATATAACAGTCAACTCTGATATATGTAATGACAGGGTGTTGAGTAGGAAGATTACTGTAGTATGATTAAGCCCCATATAAATTCCGATCATACCATGTTTACAAACCCATATTATATATACACATGCACACTATCTGTAGTTTGATCAACACTATGTAGTCAATTTATGGCTGGAAAATAACCTAAAAAATGGTTGTTTCAATCATTTAACTTGATGTTTGTGTGAAAAAATAGCTAATGTAACTAAACAAGCCTTTTATTGACATCAGGTTGTCAATTAGCATCTACTGATACACAATTAAATATATCTTTCATCTTGAGATTTAATTGGAGTTCTGAAAGAAGATTTAAAGATAAAATCCTTCTGGGTTTTTTTATTTTGGCAATGACAGTGGTTCATTTCATTCCTGTAAATATTACAGATCTTAAGAAAATATTCAACAAAAATGACAAGGTACACTGTCTATAAATAATTACTGATGTTTAAAATTTGTAGTGATTTCCAAAGTAGATTAGATAAATAAGTCACAAATTAGCTAAAAAATAATAACATTCATCATTTACTACAAAGGCGAATGATATTGAATATTTTAACAGTTTATAAAAAAACACAAATTTATTGCTTCAGTTATCTGTAACAATATACCCCCCGGTACGTTTGCTGGTTGCATGTTTTCGGCATAATATAAGAGATCAGAACTGCAATTACATATGTGCTTGTATACTTCTATAGCAAACTATATATATCTTGCCTTGAGAATATGTGAATAGCTATTTTCAGATACAGTTATTTTAAGCTGAAGATGTTAAAAATAACAACACTTATGCTGAACTACAAGTAATTTAACAGAATTCCTGCAGTTTAATTTTTATATAGAACAATTCCACACATGGTTAATAAATGTTGAATTTTATCATTAATATCTCATGTTTGAATTTAAGAATGCTGGGCTTAATTACATGTTCATTTTATGTATCTAGTCAATTTTGATGGATTTTATTCTAGTGAGTCGAGGGCACCATTTCTTAACTTATGATGAATTAAATTACAATTGAGGGTTCTCAAACTTTGCGTCCCACAGAAAAAACATGAGCCCAGGACTTAAATATCGGAGTTGCAAAAAGAAGTATGTATCATGGACTCAAAATTTCATTTTTCCATCATCTTTACAATTTGAAAAGAAATTTGTATGCTAAAATCGGAATATTTATATATGTACAAACTTAAAAAAATTAAATTTTACATGTGTGTATACAACTGTGTTCAAAGATTATTTTTACCAAAGGATTTGACATGTTACTTTACTCATAGAATATTATGTCCCATCAGAAATTAAACAAGGTAACTTACATCATTTTTAAGCTGGTTCACAATCACTTCTACAATATCCTCTTGTCCACATTCACAGGCAAGTGTAAGTGGTGACCATCCTTCTATTTTGTAAGACAAATCCACACCTCTCTCCAGCAGAGTCTGGACTTCCTGGAGATCTCCACGTTCTATAGCCAGGTAGAAGTCCTGCTCTGGAGTATTTGGTGTAATAACTTTCTTTTTCTGACGTTTTGTAGTCTCCACTAACACACATTCCATCCTACATCAGCAGATAGGGTTCATCAGTCCTGTCACAGACAGCAAACAGTATATCACAAAACCAATAGACTACATATTCAAATCCTGTTCAAAATCTTTCTGAAAATTCATACTACCATGTACACTAATTTTCTACATAAATTCACACTATGTCTACAGTATCTAATGTTTCAAAACAACCAAAATAACTAGAATAAACATTCAACTTCAAAATTTCTAAATGTCTACTAAGAAAAACACAAAACAGAAAACACGATAAAGCTGAAGATTACATGAGTTGCTAGATAAAAGCTTAAATATAAGAGTATAGTGTCACAGTCTAGAATGCCCAACCTAATCAGTGATAATCTCTCTACTGCATCATTTTATCCCTGTACCTGTATACTTTCTTCATGCCAATGTGATAATGATATATGTATGGTAAAAATGTCTTATGCTCCCATAACTTATCACTGCCACATGGCCCTCTAATGCTACATCTGTATCACCTGTCTGTGTGTACACACATCACACAGCTTAACAACAACCACTTCTGGTTTAGTGTAGAACCTGGTAGATAGTCTGCACATCAATCAGTCTATCTCTACATGGGTGCTTTAACATACCATCACATCAGGTAAGGTATTAACAGCAGGTGAGTCATTGTGGAGATTCTTTCATTATCTCATTATCAGCATCAGTATCAAAGACACTTGTACAAAAAAACATTAGTGTACATCACACAGAATCCCTCTCTTTACTTAACAATCTGATAATGAAAATGAGGACTGACAACTTGACTCTCAGTACAGATGACACAGATAACCAATATTTGACTACATATGGATGTGTACCAGGTACATTATGTCCTTGAAAATGATAAAGCATATTGATCCAAACAGTGAACATGTCCAAGCTTAAACATGTTGTATTTTTAACAGGCTTGGCAGGTGCTTTTAGTGATACATTTTAATTCATACTTGCATGTACTATATGAAATTATTTGGATTATCTCAACCTATTTTCAGACAGATAATTTAGTAAATTAGTTTTAATATATCAATTCTAAATATCTTGATTAAAATATTATACAGAATAATATTTTAAAACTGATCAGGTAACAAGTGATCTGCTTTTTCTGACTAGGTACTAATTGATTACATTTTTTGACCAGGTAACAAGTGATAATCTACATTTCATAACCAAAGTTTTATTCGGACACATTTTACAAGGCATCACAGGTGATACGAATCTTCATGCGAAGACAACAAAAAAAGGACAAGCATATGGAATGACACTGCTAGAGACAAGAGTGCTGAAAAATTGCATGGCATTTCTAAAAATAGTAATGATGACATTGACCAGGAAATTTAAACTTGTCCGAGGTACATGTGTAATCGCTATATTTTGTAGAATTCTTTGTGGTGAATTCAGAGTACCATTTCCGAAATCCTAATGAAGTTACAAAGAAATTTAGTGGGTTCTCAGAATTTGAGTGTATCCCACAGGAAAAGCATGAGTCCACTGGACTCAAATATTTGAGTCCAAAAAACCACTGATATTTGTCTTTCATAAGTGTACCGACAAGGATAAGTATTACATTATGTGCAGGCACATCATTAAGTCCCCTCCCAACATTTGTTGAGAGGATATAATGACATCTATGTTCAGTGACGCTGATAAAAAAAAAATAAAATCATGAGAAATAAACATTGAAAAAAGTCACAACAAAAAATAATATTCCTGAAAAAAAGTAATAAAAAACAAGAGGCCCAACAGGTCTGCAGTGCTCACCTGGTATATATATAAGCCAAATATCATGCCTCACGGCCTTAAGTTCATGAGAATAAGTCATTTAAATGTTTTAAAATAATATAATTCAAGGTCATTTCTTTTCACAAACTTAGTTGGGCTTTAGAAACCAACCAGCTAAATATTAAAACATTTGGTTCATTGATTATTGAGAGGAACTTGTTTAAAGGAAAAGGTTGACGCCAGACATGGGACTGACAATGAACACCGTACTATGGCATAAAAGAACTAACCACACGCCCATGGGCCTTAACAGTCATCAGACTACAAAAACTTTCAGCAGGGAAAAGGGTTATTTTTTCTACTTTGCATGAAATCTTACTGATCATGTTTTAAAATAGCCTCCCTGGCTCCAGTATCAAAATTTTGACAAGGTCAGAAAATAACAACACTTTGTTGGCTACTTTCCTTAACATTCCCACCAATTTTTAACTCAATGGCACCAGTGGAACTGAAAAAGAAGTTTAAAATATGTTTTTCAAGATGGAGGCCATCTTGGATTTCAGACATTCCTGAAAAATAACAACATATGGTCAGGACCATCTCTGGATCATTTCATGCAAGTTTGAAATCCCACTGGTGAAATTTGAGAAGAAGTTTGAAATGTGAAAAGTTTATGCATGGCGCATGATGACGAACTAAGCACAATGACTATAAAATTAAAAAAGAAACTAAAAACTGCATGTAGAAACTATTGCTTCAAAAGTTTGATATTTGATATGTAATCACTTAAAACAAAACCCAACAGAGAATCTCCAGGAAGAAAAGGTTCTGGATATATTTTGCAGTTGTAAATCTGCCAGGTCAATAACACAGCCAAGCTAAGGGTGAAGGTAATTAAAACTGATTAGGAGACAATATCTACAGAGAGCATCATGAGATCCTGGCTGCATTTTTTATGTAATGTGACATCAATGCCTTCAAGTAATACATGTATGATACAGCTTCCTATACAGTGTAGGCCTTAGTTATGTCACAAAGGACCTTGATCTGATGATGTTTACATGTGCAGTAACTTATCAGATCAACTATCATACCTGCTAATGTAAAACATGTGCATAGCCTTGCATTTCTCTATAAACATTAACACTTTCTAATAAGTGGTAAGAACCTGATCACATATTTGTATACCATTAATTAGGTATATCTTTTTTTCCAATCAAATGACAACTGTTGGTTGAACAATATGTTTTCTTTGTACTTGATAGTGTTGGCATTTAGGAAAATAATGTTATAGTTAAATTTATATTGTTTCTTTAAAATTCATTATGTACTTGCAAAATTCTTAAAAATAAAGAAAAAAATACATGAAAGCTGTCTTTCTTTTTTCAAATTCATCTCCCTTTGTGATCTCCTCAATACTTTTGATAATTCGAATACATTTACAAATCCATTTGACAAATAAAAGCTGAATCAAATCAATGAAAAGGCTTTGGTGCATTAAAACGCCCAGTCCTTCATAGGAACATGCATAGATTTACATATATACAGTCATTAGCTGAAAGTTTTATCATAGTCGGTTGTCCAAGATTTCGACGTCATCTAGATCAATAATTTAAAAAAAAGCAACGCAGATCCCCCCTTAACCCAACCCATCCTAAGACCCAAGATTATGATAAAGATAATTGTTAAATATGTTAATATGTAATATTTAACTAAATACTAAACGAGACGTTAACTTTCTCTTTCCTTTATAATGTACCACAACTCGAGCATCTGAGCTCGCAAAGACCTTTCAAAAGTGTACTCTTAATTGATAATATCCTCATGTTAATACAGGTAAATCGAAACTCCATACCACAACAGTGTTTCTTGTTCGACTCAACTGTCAGACTTCAAACTGTCGCTGCCATTCATGAATGGAAACATTGTGATGTCAAAACAGGAATACGGCTTATTTGCCCGAATGGAATTAAAACCCTATTAATAAATTCAACAATGAAGATTAGACAAGTTTATATCAGCTATCAACGTAAACCGTGCATACATGGCACAAATACACAACAAATGACATCATACCTTCTGAATCATCTATCTGCCACAACACTGCCTACATCACGCATGCGCAATGGATCAATATCCGGGCATATTTCGGACCAAGATGGCGCCCGTAGGCGAGAGAAACGAGAATATGGGTGCGATAGCGGGCGATGATGACGATAATGAAGCTCAGAATCTTTGGTAATGCCGACAGCAAACATTTAAGAAATCTTTTGCTACTATTGCATATAATTATAAGATCTTTGATGCTTTGAAGTCATAATACCAAGGTTTGTAGACGGGCTAAATTCATCATAATTTATCCGTCAACCCATTTTTTTGCAGTCTCTCAGTCTCAAAGATGCAGAAAAGAGCATCGTTCTATCAAAGAAATAATGAAAGTGGATGAGTGACATTCTTAAACGACAAGTTAAATATATAGCTCTAAAATCTATCGTTGAGGCGATGTACTTCTTGTTATATCAATGACGGCCGGTGTGTGACGAATCTGTTTGCTTTTTGACTGATGAAAACCAGTCCATAACATCAGCTAAACGCCTGTCACATGACAAGTGACAGATGATGGTAAATAATCATTCTTATTCAAAACACTGCAGAAACAATGGTTATGTTTCTAAATCCGTCAGTCATTAATTAGAAGATGCTTTATGTAAATTTGTTTTGCACTTTGAATAATGTGATTCTGGTATGAGGTTCATTTTATATCCAGATCTCCGGTTGCTGTTTGCTAATTGCTTCAGCCTTTATTTACTCTTTATGTACATTCATATATCAAAGTGAAAATAAACATTATATATCTCACAATGATGTCAAAAAGGTCTCGCAAAACAACAATGCCATTCCATTTGCCAAAGGGTTTAGTTGTGAATTCTAGTCAAAGGAATTACAGAATTTTTTACAATCACAACAACATCACAGTGAAGAGACAGGAGCATTTCGATTAAGTGAACTGATCAGGTGTTGTGTACTAGTTACTTTGTTAGTCTGTGCTGTCTGCTTTTTTCACAACTGTGGGAATGGGGCTCATGTCTTTGAATTTAAGTTGTGCCCAACAAAAGATCAAATTGGGAAATAAACAATAAAAGCCAATTGTATTCAGATTAATTCATAATTCATGGGTTGATGTTTCTCTTATGTAGCTTTAATGCAAATACTGAAGCAAGTTCATTTTCATCTGAACCTAGGGCTGACTGTCAACAGATATTACATTAGCCAGAACCATCCATATTTTTTTTTTAAACAGTGTTTTGCCATTGGGATTTGGGTACATATTCAGCCCCAAAAATTGTACAGAAACAAAATTGATTAGGTAATAACTCTTATCGGCTCTGAAGTCAGGTGACTGTTTGGTTCACATAGTTGACTAAATCTCACAACAAATGGAAAAATTAAAAAGAAAAAAAAACAAACCAATGAGTGTTGGCTGTTAACATTGCACTGTTCATTGCTAGTTCTCTGATAACATCAATGCTGAACAAATCATCTCTGAATAGTTTATAATATACCAGAATGCATCTGTAAAATACAACACTGCAACTGGTTTAAAAAAGAAAAGGAAAAATTATTGTAACTGCAAACCTTCATAGTTGAAATATATTTTTGTTTTACAACATTTAGTAAATTGGGAAACAAGATATTTCACTTTATACTTATCACTCTTGTTGGCCCTGATGTACCCTGGGAAAACCCACAAGGTCAGGCAGGTTATGCCCTACTTTTTCATGTCCGTTTGAAGAATCAAATCTCAGACAGCTAGGTGAAAGGCCAGCGTTTTACCACTGTGCCACCCAAACCACCTATCTATTATTTTTTCAACTTGTATACCTTTCTTTGTGTACTCATTTATATTCTATAACCTTTTTGCTAATGATTTGGTGAAATAAATGCAAATTATATGACTCTATCTTGTAAGCCACAAAAGTGACTTTTGGTAAAGCATTTCCATTTCTGTAAGTTGACAGTTGGTATCAGACTACAACATGCGCTATCAAGGTGTACAGTTTTATGTATAAGGATTAGTAGATGTATCTTGTAGTCAGAAAGGAAATCTTGTTGATATTAGTGAGACCTATATTTGCTGTATATGTAGTAAATATTGAATCTACTAGACCAAGCATCAGGGTAGCATCAGAGTAGGAGTATATAACTTTACACCAAAGGTTACATGGATGACCTCTACCTCATCAACCACTACTTGTGCTGCAATTAGACAAAATTTCAAAGTAAATAAACAAAATAATGATTTACTATTTAAAATATAAAGCATAGGTGCACAAACTATTGGTTTTAAATTCCATAATGGATTTGTACCAACTGTCATAATTTTTTTATATCATAATTGATGTGGATTCTCTGTGTTTGATGAAACAGGTTTTACCTTTAACAGTATATGTTACATGGTATAACAATTGCTCATAATCCAAAACTATTTGTTTTGATATTTCTTTAACTTGTGGTTGTCCCATTCTGATGTTATTTGACACATTTAGCAAAACTGTATTGATTCCTATTTTCAATTTATTCCCTACTGTTAAAATTTGCAATAACAGAATATATAACAAATATTGTATACTGACACTGGTGTCTGTTCACTCAACAACCATGTTCATGATAAAATATTAGAAGATCTGATAAATGTTAGAAATCTAGGCAGAATTAATTGGTGTAAAAGCAGTTGAGCATCTGAGATTCTTTGGAGTTCTCAAAAATTTGGTTCAAAACTTATATTCTTGTCAATTACATTTGTTCACTCTCTTTGGTTCTGGTGTACTTTCTTATGAATTAACTAATAAACATTCCAGTATGGGCAAGAGCTCTATCAAAGTAAATGAAGGTTATTGTTGGTCTGCTTTCCATTTTGTTGATTTAAAAAAATTGGACTGTCTTATTGGTAAAAAAGGAAAGTTTTAATATGTCAATGGCCTGAAATATAAGTATACAAGAGTTTTAGTGTAAGTTACTGGTTTCAATTTGTGTTTGATGTAAACTCAGATTGATATGATGTTGCTTAATTTACGTGTTCTATATTGAAACATGTTCCATTATTCAGGGCCACCATCTTGGGAGAAGTCCAGTCAAGTTCTGCATCAAACCTTCCTTCAACAAAATCAGTATTATTACTTGGTATGTTTCTTGAAGAAAATTTGTTGTGCATGAATTAATCTGATATTGAAATTGATACTTTAGCAAATCAAGATATTTCAAACTTACCTTAGATAAATTTGTTGTTCTATGGTCACTGGGAGTCGGTCACATGTGATAATGTGTGCTCATTTAGTCAGTTTTAGATTTTAATGATGTTTGTTATTTTCGTATGTAATGATATTTTAATACGATGGTTTCTTGTATTCTAATTTTCAAATAATAGGATAAATCTGTCATCTTTTAGTAAATTCCATAGATGTGAGGTTGAAATGTATAGATTCCAAATGGTATACAAATTTGTGACTTATATCTTTATACTTGTACAACATTTTCCAGGAGACAATGAAAGTGGAAAAACAACTCTAGTAGCAAAATTACAAGGTGTAGAAGAACCAAAGAAGGGCACAGGTTTAGAGTACTACTTCATAGATATAAAAGATGAATACAGAGATGGTAGGTGATACATTAAAACATCTGAAATATAATTGTGAAAATCTAATGGTGATGTTTGTTTGGTTTTCAATTGGAAAATAATTTTTTGTTTAAAGATATCACTTATAAAATTTTTAAAGTTTTGTAAATGTCTTGAAAACAACTTAGGAAGAATGAATATGGATGTTATTTTTTTTCATTTTTGTTTTTGTCTTTCAGAAAAAGCTCGATTAGGAGTATGGGTGTTAGATGGTGACCCCAGTCACAATGGTTTACTCAAATACTGTATAACAAAGGACAATTTTGAACATAATCTAGTCTTATTAGTGGCATCCATGTCTAATCCATGGTCAATTATGGAGTCTCTTGAGAAATGGACATCTGTTCTCCGAGAACACATTGACAGGCTCAAACTACAGCATGAGGATCGCAGAGAATATGAGGAAAGTTGTAAGTACTTCCATCAGATTACTAACCATATCTGAACAGAAGTAAAGCATTTTTTTTTTTTTTTTTTAATGTCGGGTCATTTAGAGTTTATCTTGTTTAAGTCCATTTTAAAATTTTATTCCTTGTAAAATGTGAACTTTTTGTACATTATTATAAAAGCAAACAAGTTTTGATAGAATATTTCCATTGATTTTCAAGAAATATAATGTTATGATTTGTGAGGATGTAACTGCTGGTGTATGTACAACAGGTGTTGGGTACATGCACAGACTGTAACACAACAGCTAATGTACTAAAAATCTGGTGTCTATTCACCTCAGGCTAATGAAAATGCATGAAGAAAGGATTGAGTATTGATTTCTTTAAAGGCAGATAGTAGGCTTCTTGTAATACAGACTTTGTTTTGTACATACTGTTGTTGAATTAAGGCCTACCTGTGTAGGTAGAATGATGTAAGACTACTTTCCAAGGAGTAAATATAAAGTGCTACAACAGTTTTCTTGATACTGTTTTGTGTTGTCTAAATTCATAAATATGATAAATACAGAAATATTGAAAGGAGCAAAATGATGTAAGATTCGTTATAATTTTGGAGTAGATTTATTTCATAGAAATGTGTATAATTAATGAATACAAGTAAAGTACCATTTACCTGTTATGATTAGTTTTTGTACTGTTGTCTTGATTTGCAAAAGGGCATTATCTGCCTTCTTGTATCCTAATTGTACTTATGTTATGGTGTTTAGTTGTACAGTTTGATATTACATTACAGTGGTGAGGTTCTTCCAGGAGTACACCGAGCCAGAGGAGGGTCAGACTTCACAGTCTGTTGTCGCTCCTCGGCGAGATGTGAACCCCCTCCATCCCTCTGCCTCTCATACAGAGGAAGACAGAGTGTTACTACCCCTCGGAGAAAATACTCTGTCACAGAACCTAGGTATTCCAATTGTAGTGGTCATTACCAAGGTGAGAACTCAAATGCACAATATTTATGCTAATATCCCAGAGATCCTTTCTCTAATTCAGCTTATGGTCTATGAGATTTTACACAAATAATGTACCACTCTATAACATATATCAATGTGAGTTGTTAAGAAACTTTGTTTTGTTTTTTTTAAGTTGGATAAACCACAAGGATAAAAGACTGAAGATATATGTGTGTAATCATATGGTATTTACAAGCAATGATGAGATGATCAGATACAATTGATTATTGAAACATTTTACCTCGTCTGATGCGATGATTGATTGTGATGTGTTGTGGCAAAAATAAAATTCATATCATGTATAAAAAATATGCCAATTACCAATAATATTAATTTTATGTTATTTCTATAGGTAAGTGAGGTATTTTATGTAAAATTTTTCAAAATTACAAACATATATACATATATATTACTGCCACAGAGAATGTGTTCACTGTATGTAAATTTTTATTACATAGATAGCCGTTTAGGTAATCATTTAACTCCATTTAAAAGGTTATCTAATTTCAACCTCACTAGTATCCACCCAGACATAATACCTTAGGATTTAACCACAAAAGAAAAAGAATTGAGATGTTCTAGTAACATTACATAAAGATTCTTGCTAATTAGAGTTTGGGGGGAAACATGTATCAAGTATGGTTAGCATAGTGATGACAAGTAAATTAAGAAAACAAAAGTTGTACATTGAAGTAACATGTATAAGTAAGGTTAGTCTGATGTTGACATACTACCAACAGAAAACTGTAATTTCTGAATTTTAGACTGATGCAATATCAACACTAGAGAAAGAGCATGACTACAGAGAGGAGCATTTTGACTTCATCCAGCAACACATAAGGAAATTCTGCTTACAAAGTATCCTTTTGTATGCTATATATGTCTGTTGCATTACTACTGCATCATTTTGTCGAGTAACGTTGCTAAATTTAGTATGGAAGCACCTCCTTGGACGACAGTTTCATCAACTGAATTCAGGCCTCATATCCTACTACATGGATTTATAGGCCATTTTCTCCTTTTTGATGACCAGAGTTTGTCTTGAATTTGAAGGAGTAAGAATTGGCTGAAAACTTTGCCTAGTTTAAAGTTTATCTTTAAAGAAAGAAGTAATCTGCTTATGAAATGGAAATGGTTACTAGAAAATTGTTTAAACAACCAAAACTTTATTTAAGGCATGTTCCAGAAGATGTTTTAATAATGAAGGTCTTCTTACATATCAACCGCATACTAGACATACACTTTCAAATTGAGTGCTATATTTCCTTAACCATGTTTCAGTTGGTGCTGCCTTAGTGTACACGTCGGTGAAGGAAGATAAAAACTGTGATTTGTTGTATAGGTATTTAGAACATAGAATATATGGATTCCCCTTCTCACAACAGGCATATGTTGTAGAAAAAGACAGTGTATTTGTGTAAGTATCATCTAACTATTCTTTTTCTTTATTCTGTGTCATAAAGCAGTTATTTCTCAGAATGTTGAGAGCTTATCCAGCATTGTTATAACCTTCTGATAATATTGTATATGAAAAATTGCAAAGCACGTCTGTCTTCAATTTTAGTCCAGTTGCTATTTATAGCATGGCACAGGCCTCCTGTTCAATATGGTAGTTACAACAAGAAAACCCCATCTAAAAGTGACCCTGACTGTTAACAGATTGATAAACCCATCCAACAACCAAACATTTATAATCTAGAATTTACCAAACCCAGCAAGCATTAAAACATATGAAATATAGAACTTGTCACTCAAAAGTGGTTAATTGATTTTGTACATATCAACTATTAAACCTTAGAATTTCAAAGACAACCATGCTTGATCAGTGATCCAAGTGATAAAACCAAATAATAACCATAAAATGAATTACTGGTAGCAGACCTTATCAAAACATTACTGTTATATTTGGATAGTCCTACTGGCTGGGATAATGAGAAGAAGATCAAGATTTTATATGAAAACCTGAGCAGTATGAAGGCTGAGGATTGTTATGAAGATGTTATAGTGAAACCAATGACAAGAAAGGTGTGTACTACATCTAGATACAATTCAAAGTTAAGTTCCACATACATTCAAGCTACATAGCTACATTTGTGTATGTTGCTAGTTAAAATGATGAAATTGTCTCTTGGTAGAGATAAGCTTCAGTGTTTCATGTTCAGTGGGATATAAGATTGATATTAGCCTTGTACAAATGAATATTTTATAGGTGAACAGTTGTACCATGTAAAGCTTACATTCAGACAATTGCAATGTTTCAGCCTGTGCAACGGGATGCTGAGGTAATAGCTGAAGATGAACAAGTTTTCTTGGTGAAACAGCAAATGCAGTTGAGCAAACAGCCAGCACCTGGTGCTGCTGGAGTAAGTTATATACTGTTATGTGTGCTTCACATTAATAAGACGGAAGGTACATTGACCATAAATTCATTGACTCAGTACTGTCTATAAAGTCACTGTCAAGTCTCAGTTATGACGACCCCTCTCATGTCATATTTCTTGTGTTAAAAATCACACTTCTTTATAGGTGATAGCATCTGAAAGTAAACTAAAGGATTTATATCTTGGTGTGTAGCCTGATGGACTTTGTGAAAATCTTCAGTTTATAACTAGACTTTTCTTCGTAAAAACACTCATGGATGATAAGGATTTAAGTGTTTTATACAAGTATCAAAACTAAGAGACTGAACTGTCGGATCAAGATTTAGGAAATTATTTTTTCCTAATTACTCTGCACAGCTGGTGAGCTCTTGTTCATTTGAAGTTATGTTCCGCTCCATAATATATACCCAGGTAGATGCTGCTCTTATTGCATACAGGTTGTTCAGGTATTTGATGTGTAATCTTACATATGTACAATCTAAAGGATCAGAACATCTGCTGTATGGTATGGGACCTATAATCAATACATGAAATATATCTGAATAGAAAATCTAAATAAAAAAAAACCTTATGAAAACTTCATATATGCTTTAATAACTGAATTTACTAATCATATTTATCATGTAATATTTCATCAACTTTGTGTTATAAGGAGTCACCTCTACGACCACCAGCAGCTGCGACCAACAAGCAAAGTACATCACCCCGACCAACAACCCCTCAGGCCAGTAGTTCTCCTAAAAAGGCATGTATTTGCAGTGTTGTGGTGACATTTTTCTTTAGTTTCTTGTCATTTGATTTGGATTGCTTAATATTTTGTTTCAAAATTATTATTTTGTCAGGAAATGTGCTTGAATTGAATGAGTGTTCTTGCATGTTCACAACTAGTCACATATAACCAAAAGCAATGGAGTTGCTTTTTATACATGTTAATGAGAAATTAGTGTGTTTACTTTAAGTTTAACTGTTGAGATTGTTTATCGTTTTTTTATATTAAAATTTGTGCTCTTTTGTTTGTTTTAATTTAGAGGGTGGTAAGTTGATTTTAGTCTCTGGTGAACTGATATAAGCACTTCTATACCAAATCATTGTCATTTATTGTCAACTTCATTACATTTCTGCCTAGGCTTGCTTCTGAATCTGTAACCACAATATTCAATTGGAGTCTACAACATCAAAATTCTCAGTAAAATTATCTTCATCTATTGATAAATTAAGAGTGCATGGTGAAAATTTCACTGAAATATATCACAAGGAAAAAGATAAAAAAAAAATGTGTTCACTGAAAACATGTAAGCAGTGTCTTAATTTTGTAGTTGATGTCAGTTTGGTTTTAGTGTTTTTAGCTGTACTTCCAGCTGTTTGTTTGAAGCAGTCTATTTTTTGCATGTTACATCTTACGATTTCTGAATGTTTGCTTGAAAGTTTGATATTTTCTCAAATTTCCTACTGATCTACTGAGGTATTGTTGATACCACTGTTACAGATTCGGGTTTTAGTGTAGGACATCGTGTGTAGTCACTCTAGAATATCATTATGCTGTGTATCAACCACACATAACAATGTAAAACTCACGGTTTTTTATGTCATTTACAATGATTTGTATAGAAATGTTATCTGATTAGCAGTAAAACACTTGAAATTGCTACTTTTTAATGAGTGGTCTGGGGACTATAACTTTTGCATGGAAATTCAATCTGAACGTTAATGATTAAAATACAACAAGGAACAGATTTAATCTGAACATTGCTAATTAAAATAAGTTTTCTTGGGTCTGAATACCAACAAGGAACTGATTGTTGCTTGTTCGTGTAGTAGTAAAAAAGTAATAAACTATCAACTGTATTCTTTAATACATGTTGTATAGCAGATATTTGAATAGCCTATAACATGAAAGAGGACAGCCTTTACATGTCAGGGCATGAAGCACCAAGCCTCTGGTTGCATGAGACGTAGGTTTTGGACAAGGAAGTTGATAAGATCGTCTAAAAAGTGATGTTAGCGGGGTGAAAGTATTTGTATTTTATTTATTATTGGCACCTATATACTAGCAGAATAATAACAACTATCTATAAACAGATATCTATTACTAATACACACTAACAATCATCTGTATATTTAATCCTAGACACCAATTAATAACAGGTTGTTCAGAAACATTAACTACAAAACAAGATATATCTGGATGGGATAATGTTGTATCATCAAAGTGGTCAACACACTAGTCGTCAACATGTTAGTGATACAATACATGTAATATTGCTGCTAAATTACTGTGTGTTTTTAAGATTGTTACGCTAGTTTTATAGATGTTTACAAGCCCGTATTTGACTTTGTATCGCTATTTATGCTATACCTGGATACCCTATGATTGTTTGTGGTATTGCCTTATTATCTGTAAAAAATATCTGTCATTCTTACTTTCAAATATTTAACTTGGTACAAATCGATATCTTAAACTAGTGAACAAATATCTGAGGCTCTGTGATATTCCTGGCATATTCATTTGCATTCAGTATGCAACATAGATCAAAACTTAGAAGGCATATCAAAGGTAGTTTATAATGTTTATGATTTCATGTAATGTTTGTATGGCTGTTTCAATACAGTTTATAATAGTGAAATACAAAAGGAAATGGGAAGAAAAACACCTGTTTCGGATTGATACTGTGAGACAACACAGTTTATTCTATATATTAAGCATATAAAATATACATAGTTTTAAACAAAAATGTAAAATCTTTCTTAAGAAATGAAGAAAAAAACAAAGCAACATGCAGTCAGCTAAGTTTGTAAATTGACATCAGGTATTCTGGTCTGCAAAGATTTAAATAGAACAGAAAAAGAAAATGAGAGAGAAAAATCTAGACTCACTTTAATGTGCTCGAAAGGACACAATTATTTCTGATATCTACATGTATGAAATGCTCAAAATGAATTTAAAGTTTGAGGTGTGTTTGTTTTGATGTAGCAAAGTGCCTTGAGGGTTCATAATTTTGTTTAAAACATTTTCCCTCAGAAAGTGTTCCATTCAGGGTTATGTCCTCTTCGATAGTAAGTATTTATTGTACGTATAAACACCAGGCTTCTGCACATATGATATTACAAGGAGCAGTTATCATCCTTCACATTAAAACCCAAAACTCTCTTTTCTCATTGTAGCTGGATGGCAAGAATCCTCAGAACACCAGTGAAGGGATGTTGGCAAACTTCTTCAACAGTCTACTGAACAAGAACACACGCACACCTGTCCCTACAAAAGCAGGTAATTATGTAAGATACTCCTCTATAGGGACACATTAGGATCACTCAGCAGAGAATGGAAGTAGGACGCCAACAGACAAACTCATAGGGAAATCTATTTGTGATGTGTTAGAATTTGTTTTGTTTTTTTCCCCTTTTGATTGTATGTGACTTTGTGCCCTTGGTCCATGTAAACACTGCATGTTAACTAACGTGTAGATAGACAGGTGATGTGATTACTCTTGCCCTGTATTATGTCTCGTTATTTAATTGTTTTTTTTTTTTTTTTTTTCCAAAGAAAACTTTCAATATTCCTTATACGTTGTAGATGTGCATAATCTGCATCGGGTTGTGTTTTCTCCCTTCTGGAAAGTTATGCCCCTTTAGGAATACAATGATATACCAGCTACTTCACTTTACAACTGTGTGGATTTCAATGAAACTTGCTGACAATAATCCTTATATATTGCAAATGTGCGTAATCTATGTCAGGTTGATTTATCTCCCCTCTTAGAAAAATTTATGTGTCTTTGGGGACTCAATAATGTACTAGCTACTTCTAAAAGTACTGAATGGATTTTATGTATCTCATGTCACCAAAATTAAATACCATTTTATTATTTTGTGAATAACTGTTGGCAGTGGGTTAGGTGCAAATTGGCCTCGGGATGACAGTCTCCATTTCAAAGTGATAAAATCAATCAACTTGACAGGAAACAGAAGTGAAGTAGCACAGCATTAATTTTTTTGAGGAAAAAAGTCAAATTGTTCCAGAAAACATTTTTTTTTTGTGTACTGTACAACAACACGCCTTTTATGTCACAACTGTTTTCTTATACTCTGCCTGATTTGCTTGGAGGTGTTTGTAGTCGAAACTTCTGGTAGGTTTTGGGAACAACTGGTGTTGAATGTTTAGATATTGTTCAAATCAGATTTCTATATTATCATATACTAATTCAAAGTATTGGCGGCCTACAACATTTTCATATGTTTTTTATTTGAAGTGACATAGAGTTTGAAAATTACATTAAGAAAGTTAATTCTTTCACAATTGCTTGAATAATTAGGTTATCAAAGTTGTGATTAGACAATATAAAGAAAAGGAAAGAAAAAAAATTACTTCTAAAACATTAGAGGGAAGTGACATTGATAAAGAAGATGGAGACTGTCTTTATTTCCTTTATAAGAAGATAGTAATCTGTATATTGTTATTATGATGGAGAACAGACAATGGTAAGTGTGCTGGCATTAGCTATGGTGGGCGGGAATCAGGTTTAGGACTTTAACAGCTTCTATCGGCATTCTGTACATACAAAGCTGAATAAGGATATATAAAAAAAAAATGAATCTTTGAACATATTTCTGAAAGAAGAATTGACATAAAGATTGTTCTGATAAATTACAGGTAAGTAAGTATAAAATAGGCTGTCTTCTAAGAGTTTGTTTGCAATAGGTATTTAGTATAGAAAAAAGTTCATAGAAAATGGTATTCTACCTTTGATCTTTGATAAAGGCCATAATGTAGAGCTGGTGTTGGAATTGATTAAGGACAATCATGCTTTTGGGGAAAACTTAAAGTAGTGATATTTAGAGCATGATGGCCTCAAGATCTTCACCAGCATGGTGATTTGTACTTAAATGTAGGTAGCCCACCAACACCCAGTCGATTTGCTATCAAGACTAAATTGCATGCCAACATGGAGCAGGGAAGTTTGAATTCTTTGTTAAACCAAACAAGAGGTAAACCGTTGAAGGCCCACCCAGGTCTGTAGTACGCTAGGTTGTGTGCACTAGATGTGTCTAACACCATCTGACCACATAACTAGCTGTTTTTGGGGCCTTCTGTCACTCCCATTGTACAGCCAATGACCGGTCAGATATTCGCCCAAGTACACACACATCAAGTAGCATATGAACACAAATTTATTATTACGGATGTTTTAGATGTTTCTAAATTTGAATGTTTTTAGGCCATTAATAGTGAAACAATGCTGTCACGGTTATGTTATTGTAATTTGTTGAGAGGTGTAAATGACAAGTTGTTTCATGGGATTTACTACTGATATGAAGCTGCCATTATATATATCATTTTGTTCTATAAGACAAACAATTGAAAGCTGTACCTGACAACAGGTGTGGAATGAAACTTTGTCATATGATTTTGTATTCTCAGACTTCAATCTTTCAAATGCTTATTCCAACCAGATTTGAATTTGAAGATGGTGTTTGTGTACTAGGGTTAAGTGGCTGTTACAGGAGAGCTATTATATCAGTCTTGCTGTGGCAGTCAAGCTAGACTAGGCTGTGAAACATTTCCGTCATTAGTTTCTGTCCAACAATTCATGTGATCTCTTTTAACTAGCATTGTGGCTTCGCTAATAATGCATATCGGGTAATGTGGAATGTTTGTGATATAACTTCATTGCCATGTTCAGTGCTCTAATTCAGATTCTTTGAATTATTGCTTTACTGATACAAATTTACTTTAACAACAGCACCAAGTCAGGCAAATACCTTGTAGGAAGTTATCTATTGATGGCAGTCTGTCAGTGTAACTTATGACAGACAACAAACTGATAATAGCACCAAGTCAGAAAATCTGTGGATAGTAGTATATCAGTGTATGTAATACTTTGACAATGACAAAGTAAAACTTATGAAAATATTGAGATTAATGTTACAGCAACTCTCGTTTTAATAGATAAAATCCAAATCATGTTATTTAATTAATGCATGAAGTCATATTTCCTCTTAGAGAAACAGTAGTTTCCTGGTGCTAGAAGAAAGAGAGTTTAATGTTTTTGACCCATCAGGCATCTGTTTCTTTAAAAATCCTATGTGATCCATCAGGCATCTTTCTTTAAAAGTATTATGTGATCATTCTAGCAGTATGATCAGTCCATGGTCATGATCACTGTTACGAAAAAGAGGAAATACTGTTTACATATATACATACAGGTGTATATATACTGCTTTAGATTTAGAGATGTTTCAGTTCAACATTTAATGAGTTTGATTGGCCATAGATCAAGGTTGCTATTACTAAAGGTAGAATTCCAATGTAAATGTTGATTTGATGCTGTATGACTTGAATTGACTACTTCTGATGAAACTTCATTAGTAAAATATCATGAATATATTGAAATATGGCATAGTTAGACAAATGTCAAGGTCTCTTAAACCCTGTAACTGGACTGTCACAGGACCACAGATAAGCAGAGAGGAGGGTATTGATACACCTTGCTTGGGAGTTGTGTAGGGTGTGTGTGATCTGTTTTAGACATTTAAACAAGTTAAGGTTGTTTTTTTTTTTGTACTGTTGAGCATTTGTAATAAAACATGATGAAAGACTTGCATCAACATATTTAATAAATGAATTTTATGACTTTAGAGATTAAGAAAAAAAACCCAGCTTTGTTTTGTTTGCAATGTGGTCAAAGTATAATACCAATTATTTTTGTAGAAAAACGAGGAAGAATCACAAAAGGTGTCAGGCCGTAGCAAGTAGTACTACAGCTTCCTTAGCATTCTCCTATCTCTGTCAAATGCTTTTATTAGTTTCTTTTTCAATATTTTCATGCATCAAATCCTGGAATTTCATTTTTTGGAAATGATTAGATTTTAGTTGCTGTAAACTTGTAGTATGTACACCTCTATAAATCACCTGGCATGATAATGTGAAATTAGTTTTCTCATGTTTAGGAGTCTGTCTTTTTTAAATAGACAAGCATGTTGTGCACTGGCAATGGCGACATCTTTCGTGATAACCACTGTTCGATGCTTTTCTCGGAATGATTTTTACTGAAAATTTTATCAAGTACTAAACTGAATTCAAATAGCTTCTATTGCATGAGTTAAAAAAACTTTATTGCAATGATAAATGTTACGATCCAGACCTAAGGTTTGTCAGAAACCTACTAAAACCTTAGACAGATTTCAGCTATATGTTTAAATGTTACTGTAATTTCAGTTCTAAAAGGTGCTTTTTGTTTTGTTTGTATCATCTTGAGAAGAGTATTCAGGCAGTGTGTATAATTTCAATCATCCCATCATAATGATCTCATTATCGTTTTTATGGTTTTTGTAACTAAGTTTTTGGAAAGGTGTCAGATTGTCTCTAAATTTTCTTGATTTGCTGAAGCTGTTGATGTGTTGTGTGGTGAAGAATCTGAACTACAATTCTTACTGTGATAAGTTCATTGTAATATTTTGTTATGTCACTGTATGGTATGTTTTATAAGTTTTTATTGTTTTACTTCACTGTCTATTTAGTGTTTATATATATTTATTATGCAAATCTTCCTATTCAGTTTCGTTTTCATTGTTTAAATGCTATTAGAAAATCAATTGTTCTGAATATCAATGTTACATGCCTCAAAGAAACCTCTAATATTAATGAAACTTTGTAGTTTTGTAGAGAAAAATATAAGATATATGAAGTAATGTAAAAGAAAGTTTGTAATGATGACAATGTTTGACCATTACTCTGTGATGTAAGTGATATAACACATTCCCAATGTTAATGTCAAACAGACAAGGCTGCTGTAACACGGGATGCCACAGCTGAGCTGGAGAGACTGACACGATCAAAGAAAACACCTGAGGTGAAACCAAATGGACCTGACAGTGCTGCGTCCTGATCTTGTAGAGAGATGCGAGGACAACTGACCATACACCAAAGTAGTACAGATCCACACCAAGCCCTCTACAGCCAGACAATATTTCGACAATATCAAGATTTTGCCACTGCCTCTTAAATCATCTTTGGCGACTTTCTTGAATTTATCTGCAGCCTTTTCATCAGTGTTGTGTTCAAAATGACTTTTTATAAAGTCAAGCAGACTTATCAGTTATTCAATGAATGGGTTGTAAGTTAGTCTGGCCCAATTATTTTGACAGGTCTAAAGACAAAGCTGTATTATGCTGGTGTGTGTATCTGTGTATCCAGCCAGGTGTCTGAGATCTGTGGTGCGCTCAAAGTACACAGATGTACAAGTTCATTAATTATACATACCTACTTGACCCTTAAACTATTCTACAATATCTCAAAATAGAAACAGGAAAGTCCTATCATAGCGTTACTATGGTGAATTAAACTTGCATCCTGGTAAGTTAGTATAACACCTGTTTAATTATACAGGGTACAGTAATAATGTACTGTTTAAAGAGTCCCAGTGTTTGGAGACGTCCTATATTATTATAGGCTAGGATACCTGTATTAGTAGATATTGCAGAATTTGTTAATAAATCTGCCATCTTTTCGTAGGGGTCCTATATATTGGGATATATCTGGCTGATCACTTGGGATATAGGAAAAATTACTCCCTGTTCAGTGATTCTGAAATTAAGAAGAAAGACTGGTATACTTTCTTTTCAGAAGTTAGGAAAATAAACCTGTACAGTGTTGTAAAATTTTTAATGTTTATTGAAGTATGCATGTGCTCTATATGTCCCCAGAAATAGATGATTATATGTTGAAAAGAATTATCACTGAAAGCTACTATAACGCCAACTGTTATGCACATGTGATACACAAACCTGTACATGATGTTTTATTTATTTATGTGTGTATAGATGAGATATGACATGTTACCCCCTTGTTTTAAACAAGCCCTGCACTCAGTATTTGTGAATCAGAAAATACTTGGAAACATGGTTCTTTTTTTAGACATGGTTCTCCCTGTATTTATGGAGAGAGAAGTAGTGTCCCTTGAAAATATTGTAAAACATCTTGATTTTTTGACAATGTCATGGATAAAAGAGAACCCCCTCTCCACCCCTCCTCTGCACCCCACCCCCTTCCCCTTCCCTGAACTCATCCACCCCAAATGTCAAATATAAAATAAACTCCCTTTTCCCCTTTTTGCAAATCTGTATATTTGTATAGTGTGCACATGTACTACAGTTTGTGTGAGTACAATGTTTAAAATCTTAAACACATACTTGTGTGTCACGAAAGCTAAAAGAACAACATCGAAAAAAATGTTTCCAACTATTTTCTGGTTTACAAGACAATATGCTTATTTTGGCTGAGCTTTCATGACTTCATCATTTGCTGTATATGTTTGAATTCCCCATCTATGTCACTTGTTCTCCTATAAGTGACTGGTACATGTGTATTGATGAAATAATTGTATATCCTATAAAGCAATGATATCAGTGTAATTATATGGTAGACTATCAGTTGTTTCCTGACTTATAAGAGTATTAGGAGGTAATTACAGCATGTAAGTATATTATATACTGTATGAAATACCAGGAGCACAATGTAAATTTTAAGATGTGTTATGAGGTATACACCGTGTTATCAGGTATACATTCTGAAATATCATGTTCACTGTTTTATCAGGTATACACTCCGAAATATCAGACATACACCCTGAAATACCTGGTATACTCTGTTACCAGGTTTACTCTGTGTTACCAGGTATACACTCTGAAATATCAGTCATACACCCTGAAATACCTGGTATACTCTGTTACCAGGTTTACTCTGTGTTGCCAGGTATACACTCTGAAATATCAGACATACACCCTGAAATACCTGGTATACTCTGTGCTATCAGGTTTACTCTGTGTTACCAGGTATACACTCTGAAATATCAGACATACACCCTGAAATACCTGGTATACTCTGTTACCAGGTTTACTCTGTGTTGCCAGGTATACACTCTGAAATATCAGTCATACACCCTGAAATACCTGGTATACTCTGTGCTATCAGGTTTACCTGGTTTACTCTGTGCTACCAGGTTTACTCTGTGTTGCCAGGTATACACTCTGAAATATCAGTCATACACCCTGAAATACCTGGTATACTCTGTTACCAGGTTTACTCTGTGTTACCAGGTATACACTCTGAAATATCAGACATACACCCTGAAATACCTGGTATACTCTGTTACCAGGTTTACACTGTGTTACCAGGTATACACTCTGAAATATCAGTCTTATACCTTAAATTACTAGGAATACAATACAAAATAACTGTTTCACATAAAATATACCATGTTATAACATAAAGCCTAGGAATCACAGAGCCTATCTTTGTTAACTCCAGTGTTAACGTCGTCTTTATTTCAAAGGTAAAAAATCTCTAAAATATCTGAAAGAAATCTTCAAAATACACCTCATGTCGTTGAACAGGGAAAGATTTACAGAACACTTAGAGCATATGTGAAGTTATGCAAGTTGTGAAGTTTTGTGATACCAGGGTTTGATATTGATGAAGTAGAATGCCACACAGTCCTACTGATGTACAGTTTAATTAGCTAGACAAGAGTCAACAAAATAATCTGTGATAACACAGTTATTGACAGGCCATTGACATCTTCAAAGGGAAGAGCATATTTATGAAGATAAGAAGTTGATGCAAAAAGTTGTACATTTTTTATTGCGATGTCTGTTCCAAGATGTATATATTTCTTATGATTTTATTCCACAATTTAAATACTTCGGTATCTAATTGCTTTTGTGATCACAAGTTCAGTTTACCCTGTTATCAATCATGTAAAGTGAATTTCATCTTTATATTTGGTCATGAAATGTTCTGTGCAGGTTTCATCTGTTCTTTTAGATAAATACAAACTGTATTCAAAGTCTCAAATGGTAGAACCAGTTCATGTTAAAGTTGGTAAATGTTGACCAAATTCATGGAACAAATCCATATTGAAAGTCAGTTGACCAGTCCAAAAAGTTGGTAAATATTCCCATCTCTGTGTATGCATCATTATCCAATTGTTGTTTTTTAAGGGTGCGGGGAGTTCTTTGTAGTTGTTGAATGAGGGATGACATTTAAGACCATTTTAACATAGCTTGCCGTGTTATGCTGATAACACATGGGATAAACATGAGGCTTGTATAACCTGATATGTGCAATATAGAGAGGATATGGTGCGTTAATAATGTATGTTTCTGCATATACCTGCATATTTAATACTGATTTTTTCCTGTTTGAGTTTTAAACACAGTTTAATTGAAAAAAAAATGGATAAAATTAAATGGATACTTGGAATGAATTGTAATTGGAGCCGAATCAGTTATGAAAAGTATGTTTTGCATAATAAAAAAATATATAAAAGCTGTTATGTATAACTATTTGCCTTCGTTATATGACTAGAATATTTACAAGGTTTTTATGGTGCATTGTGAACATACTGTATAGGATTATCTCCCTTCATCCCACTGCCTGTAGCTTAGCCTGACTTCCATGGTATGGAGAGAAGAAAGTATACAAAACCAAGACCAGATCATTTTCAGCATTTATTACTTTTGTGTACTGGATAGGTATTATGTATTATATGCTATATTTTTGTTTGGATTATAGTAAACCATTTTCAACTGCTGTTCAGACATGCACCACCAAAAGGACATAAGTTTGTCATCATACTATGTTTGTAATGCATTAAATAAGCCGCATGTTGTCCAACTTGCCTGTAGAATTTTAGAATTTAATTTTTGTATGCAGGAATTAGAAAAAGGTACAGAAAACTAGTCATTTATTGAGTTACAGTATGTAGGCTTTTGTCACTTTTGCACATTTGTTAAATTTTATATATTTTTTTCAAAATGCTTATTGACACTATCTCACTAGGTCTTATTGATGTTGTGTAGATGAGCTTTCTCTGAGTTCCCACTTCACAGACAGTACATTTTTCTGTGTATGTAGAACATTTGAATTGTGAAACATTTTCTAATAGTCCAAGTATTGTAATTTATCATTGAATAAGTAGTATCTAACAGCAGTTAATTCTTTGTAGAATTCATTTGTCACTTCAAACAAAATTCAACATATAAAAGTTGTCTTCATAATCAACAAATCAAATTTATCTCAATGAGGTAAAGTTGAAATATACATGTAGACCAAGGAAATCATTCACCAACATATCAAACTTTAGACTCATTCATGTAGTAAAATTTTGATTTGGTGGTAGTTCATGTTTTCATTTACTATGTTGTGATTTGCGAGGCAGGCAATGATAAAAAATGCATACAATGTCAACCTATTGTGTAGTTAGTGCTGGTGCATTAGTCATAGATACAGAGTTATCCCCCTTCTCTATTTGTTGTACAAACTAGTTCACAGTAACACAGAAACCTTGTTCATTACTGTGCCATATTTTCAGACGGATCGGACATCACTTCATCACTACAATAAGTAGGGGAACTAACTGGTAATCTCATTCAGCTTCTTGTAGTATTTTGTATCATTTTCTGAATAAGTAAACCTCATTCAGAATCAGCAATAAGCTTTTGTTTACATTGGATGTTTCCTTATTGAGTCATGTGTGTGCTATGGTACTGGAAGGAGAGAACTATTTTACCAAGATATGAGAGTCGATGAGTCAATGTGTCTATGATGCTGTGATTGCAGCCAATGAAAGTGTCCTTTTGTTTTGGCCAAAACATGTGTAAGCGTTATGACCTACGTAGTATATTTATCGATTTAGTTTCATTTCAAGTTTGTTCCTTGCCCTACTATTGTTAACTTCTTAACTGTGCTAAACCATTAATACTTTGTGCTACAGCAAATTCAAAATCAAATTAGTGTGTTTAATTCTCATCTGTGAAATCCATTTATTGTTTTGACTATTAGTATAGATTAAAATGAGAGAACTCTGATTATTTTGTATTAGTGCCAATGTTAATATCCACAACAGAACTAATGCTTAAGTTTCTCTTACTGGGCTATCTACATAAAAATCAACATGTACAGGCTTCATTACACACTGCTAGTTAACAAAATATATGACAATGCTGCCATGAAGTTTTGTTATGGAGGTGGTTATTGACATGGAACATGATGCATTCCATATAAAATATGATTTATAATTGGAAATGAACCCCGAGTGTATACAGTTTTACAATATATTATACGTGTACTTATATATTTGCGGTACCAGGAATACCCTTTTTACAGATCCATTTTGATTTTGGTTTGGTTATCAGCAGAAGAAAATCTATTTACTTTGGGAATGTTTTTTCTTTAGGATAGATTTTTTTACAAATATTGTTTCTTTAATATGTACATGTACTTGTATGTATTTACAGCAACAAAAAATATAAACAATGCACAGAACATACTGCTGTTATAAAGAGTTCTAGGTCCACTTTTGTTCTTTTTCAAACTGGTTTGTCAAATTTTGAATGAACCGAAACAGACCTAGATATTAATGCAGGCCTCGAAAGGCTGTCAAAGCTTGTCAAAGCTAAATGAGATCAAAAGGTCCATTCTTATTAACGAACAACACTGGTCCAACAGGTCAAACAGCTCATGTAACAACACTCTAGGTTACATTACATTTATTGAAGCCATTTTGTACTGTTGGACCGATTCCTGTAATTACACAACTTTAGTAGCTCGATCAATTTGTAAGGGGAGACAACTTAGCAAGGAGAGGATTAACTACCTCACTATCCTCCATACATGAATACTTTTCCATAGCAATCATGGTATGTTTTAAAGTAAGGAAATTTTATCTTTATTTCATCAAATCAATTGTTGGATATAATTGTAAATACCAGGAAGACAATATGTGGTATTTACAGATGTTGGAGAAAAGATATGATAAACATTGTTATTATTTTGTTAGAAAGTGAAAAAAAAAATCTCATTTCTGCCAGTGAATACTCTTGTGTTCTATAGAAATCATGACTGCTTAGCAAACATATTCTCACTTGTTCATGTCTGTGCTGTCATGTAGACATTTTTTGAGTCCTGCTATTTACACAAGTACTTATTTATATAGCAGTAAAGCATGGGTCATGGAAAAAATGTACATCTTTAACTTTGAATAAATGTTACAGATGGTTTCTTTGGCATTTCGTTGTCATTTAATCTGTGATGTATGCTTCCACAGAATTAGGTATCCATACCACTGTATACCAGGATATTTTTGACCCAGGTTATTTTCACCCTTGAACCATTATAAACAAATTTGTCTCATGTTCATTTCGTCCTCTGAGGATTATATCTAAGAGTTACAGAAGTGTAAAAAAAATTTTGCCCCGTCTTAAATTTCCTTCCCTGTTCATGGATGAAAAACTGGTATCCATAGTGATTATTTTGAATTTCGACATCAGTTTTAAACTTAGTATCCAAGGTGTTTTTAATGAAATATTAACCAGTTCTCAGTGTCACAAGAAATTAATTTGGGATTCTTTTCCTGTATCTTTAAGTAAAATAAGATTAGGACTCCATATTTGGGAAACTTCATCTGAAATAAACAAACTTTTGTATTCTCCTTGAAAGTATAGCATGACATTTTCCTAAATGACCTTGCAATAGTGATATTTCTGGTTTGTTGATGGAAGATAAGTTTATCCAACAAAAGGAATTCTTTCATCCTCTTTATTAAAGGACTTCTGTCTGAGTGAGGCCACATCCTTTTTAGAAAAGGAATTCTCTCTAGATGAGGCCTCATCCTCTTTGTAAAAGAACTTCTGTCTTAGTGAGGCCACATCCTTTTTAGAAAAGGAATTCTTTCAGGGTGAGGCCACATCCTCTTTAGAAAAGGATTTCTGTCCAATTTTCATCCAGACAGAACATCATTCCTTAGGAAGATGTGGCTTCATACAGATAGAACTCCTTTCCTAAAGAGGATGAAGCCTCTTCAGAGAGAATTCTTTTTCTAAAAAAGATGAGACCTTATCCAGACAGAACTCCTGTTCTAAATAGGATGTTGGCATCATCTGGACACCTTTTTTTTCTAAAATGGAGAAATG